TGGTGACTGGGCATGCGGTGGCTGGGCATGCGGTGGCTGGGTATGCGGTGGCTGGGTATGTGGTGACTGGGTATGCGGTGGCTGGGCATGTGGTGACTGGGCATGCGGTGGCTGGGCATGTGGTGACTGGGTATGCGGTGGCTGGGCATGTGGTGACTGGGCATGCGGTGGCTGGGCATGTGGTGACTGGGTATGCGGTGGCTGGGCATGCGGTGGCTGGGTATGCGGTGGCTGGGTATGCGGTGGCTGGGTATGCGGTGGCTGGGTATGCGGTGGCTGGGTATGCGGTGGCTGGGTATGCGGTGGCTGGGCATGTGGTGACTGGGTATGCGGTGGCTGGGCATGTGGTGGCTGGGCATGTGGTGGCTGGGCATGCGGTGACTGGGCATACGGTGACTGGGTATGTGGTGACTGGGCATGCGGTGGCTGGACATGCGGTGGCTGGACATGCGGTGGCTGGACATGCGGTGGCTGGGCATGCGGTGACTGGGCATGCGGTGGCTGGGCATGCGGTGGCTGGGTATGCGGTGGCTGGGCATGCGGTGGCTGGGCATGCGGTGGCTGGGCATGCGGTGGCTGGGCATGCGGTGGCTGGGTATGCGGTGGCTGGGCATGCGGTGGCTGGGTATGCGGTGGCTGGGCATGCGGTGGCTGGGCATGCGGTGGCTGGGTATGCGGTGGCTGGGCATGCGGTGACTGGGCATGCGGTGGCTGGGCATGCGGTGGCTGGGCATGCGGTGGCTGGGCATGCGGTGGCTGGGCATGCGGTGGCTGGGCATGCGGTGGCTGGGCATGCGGTGGCTGGGTATGCGGTGGCTGGGCATGCGGTGGCTGGGTATGCGGTGGCTGGGCATGCGGTGGCTGGGCATGCGGTGGCTGGGTATGCGGTGGCTGGGCATGCGGTGACTGGGCATGCGGTGGCTGGGCATGCGGTGGCTGGGCATGCGGTGGCTGGGCATGCGGTGGCTGGGTATGCGGTGGCTGGGCATGCGGTGACTGGGCATGCGGTGGCTGGGCATGTGGCTGGGCATGCGGTGGCTGGGCATGCGGTGGCTGGGCATGCGGTGGCTGGGCATGCGGTGGCTGGGCATGCGGTGGCTGGGCATGCGGTGGCTGGGTATGCGGTGGCTGGGTATGCGGTGGCTGGGTATGCGGTGGCTGGGTATGCGGTGGCTGGGCATGCGGTGGCTGGGCATGCGGTGGCTGGGTATGCGGTGGCTGGGCATGTGGTGGCTGGGCATGTGGTGGCTGGGCATGCGGTGACTGGGCATACGGTGACTGGGTATGTGGTGACTGGGCATGCGGTGGCTGGACATGCGGTGGCTGGACATGCGGTGGCTGGACATGCGGTGACTGGGCATGTGGTGGCTGGACATGCGGTGGCTGGGTATGCGGTGGCTGGGTATGCGGGCTACATGACCCAGCCAAAAGCAACTTCCTTGCCCTGCCGGAAGAGCTCGCCGACAATGGGGGACTGTGTTCAGACCTTAAAACAGGGATATCCAAACTTTTTGCAAAGAGGGCCAAATTTGAAGAAGTGAAGATGCCCGGGGGCCAATAGTTCCTTCTGACATTTTTTTACCACAAAAGTTACGTGAAAACACACACTTTTATAAAACAATTTTCATTGTCACAATTACCTTTATTTTTTAAATGACAATGTAACCAAATATAAGCGACTCAGGCAGACGGGAACAACTCTAAAAACACTATTCTGCCTTTCATTCAGTCAGATAACATTGAACAAACTGTATAGAATACCTTAAATTTACATGAGTTAAATATCTTTGCCTCATGAACATTTTAAACAGGAGTTATAAGTAATGCAAAATGGTCTGTTATCATTAAACTTTAAAACAAGTAAATTTTGCCCTTGTCTTTTACAAGATCTTTCAGAAAGCAATAGTTTGTGTCACATCTACAGGTACATAACATCAACAGTTATAACCAAATCTTATTCAAGAGTTTAATAAAACAAGTGCCATAAGTCAAAGTGCATTAGTGTGCGTTAGGCTTTTCACTGTTAATAGTGACAGATGTTACCGTTCAAAACACTCAATTTCAGATTGATCAAGGAACAGATAACTTGCTGACACTAACGAGAAGGGTGATACTGAGATCTAGATTTCAGTAAAGAGACCAGGTCTCGCTTGAGGGCAGTGGTTGAAATCCGTAAAATGCCACGCAAGTGGGAGTCGCTCATCCTTGACCTCAATCGGTTCTTGTTAAAGTTCACGACTGAGAATGTTTGCTCACACAAATATGTGGAGCCGAATAAGCTCAGCATTTTCTTAGCGAATGACCGCATTTCTGGAAACCTGCTTTTGTCCAGCTGCCGGTAAAAGTGAACAAGAGAACACTGCTGGTGTTTCCCGCGGCACTCATCGTCAAACTGCAGCTCAATGAGCTCCAGCTGCAGCTGTGGAGGAGCATCATCAGGGTCCACGGAGAAGGGAGAAGAGAAAAGCAACACGTCCTTTCCAATAACTGCAAAGTCCCGAAAGCGTTTGTTAAATTCCACAGAAAGAGATGCGATAGCTGTTGCATAACTCTTCATTTGCGCACCGATGTTGTCCTGTGGGAAACTGGGAAGTGCGCGGTGCAGGGCTCTGTTTGGGACAAGTGTCTTTGGAAAAGTTGCAGTTTGGTTCCAAAGGCCTTGATGTGAGCGTATAGCTGGCTCACCACTGCATCTTTTCCTTGAAGATTATTATTCAGCGCATTCAGATGCTTCGTTATGTCAACCAACAAAAAGCCAGATTTACCAGCCATATAGGATCGGACAGTTGTTCCATTGGTTGTCCCTTCTCACCCAAAAAATGCCCAATTTCCTCTTTGAGAGAGAAAAATCGCTGCAGTGCGGACCCCCGACTTAGCCACCTCACATCGTTGTGATATATTACATCACCGTATTCAGCCTCGATGTCACGCAAGAACTGCTGAAACTGTCGGTGGTATAGAAATTTAGAGCGAATAGAATTGATTGTTTTTGCCACTGGTTTCATAACATCGTCAAATTTGAGATGTTTGGCGCAGAGAGCCTGCTGGTAAATGATACAGTGAAGTTTAATAGCGTTGCCTGCTTCTTCGCTGACTTTATTGCAGATCAGTGTGGACAATCCACTTCGCTCGCCAGCCATGGCAGGCGCACCATCGGTAATGATCCCAGAAACATTACTCCATGCTAGTTTCATATCATCAACAGCTTCACAAACAGAAACGAATAAATCTGTTCCTCTGGTTTGCCCTTTAAGGCTTTTGAGGTCAAGCAGCTCCTCTGTCACGTTCATGTTGTCATCAACTCCTCTTGAAAAAATAAGTAGTTGTGCAGTGTCAGATGCATCGGTGCTTTCATCGCAGGCTAATGAGAAATAATCAAAAGCCACTCCCCTGTCCCCCAGTTGTTTCTGAATATCTGACGATATGTCCTCAACTCTCCGTGCCAGTGTTGCGTGCCAGGCAAACATTAATACATTCTTGCTTCTTCTCGGGGCAAACGTTCTCCACCATTTTCGTGACACAGTCTTTGATAAACGCACCTTCAGTAAAATGTTTGCCATGTTTAGCTATTAACATGGCCACTTCGTAGCTGGCTTTCGTGATGTTTTCCTTTGACTCACGGGCCCGCGATGCCAGAGCAGCTTGAAGTTGCTTTACTTTTTCAGCGCGGTCACTCTCTGTGAGCTTGTCGTATGTTGTAGCATGTTTAGTCTCGTAGTGTCTCTTTACGTTGAAATCCTTAAACAAGGCAACCGTCTCTTTACAAATCAGACAAACACAATTGCCTCGATTTTCAGTGAAGAAGTATTGTAATTCCCACCGCTCCTGAAAGCGGCGTCCCCTCACTGTCAACTTTTCTCATTTATTTTTTGCAGTCGCCATGGCAGAAATGATTCAAGAAGGGTTCGTGGCACGGATGGAGAGCCAGATAGCATTAGAATGGTGCTGCCACCGTGTGGCGGAAGGAGGAATTACATCTTTAAAGTTTCATGATGTATTTATTCTGACAGAGCTAGCGAGTCATAAGTAACACATTATAAGACCGAAGCTACGGGCCGTATGACATGCCTGGTTTAAACTATTGTCATTGTAGTATTTAATGTGGCGCTGCACTCTGATGTTGTAGGAGAAAACATTTATTAAAAAGTCTATTTAATTAAGTAGAACGCGTTGTCTGTATTCATTTATAAAGTTGATGTGACGTCACATTTCTCAACCCCCCCCCCATCACAAATGTCTGACCCCCCCCCCTAGGTGCGTGACGGCCCCAATACCAACAAGATTAGATGACATCTTTTAATCCGTTGCACCAAAAGTAACCAATGGAGGGTGTACGAGCCGACCCTCACTGTCGTCTTTTTGTGCTTGTTGTTGTGACGTTTCGAGCCCGTGCCCTCCACAAATGGGCATCTGTGAAAAGGAACTTTCAAACTCATCGGATTCCTCCTGCAGTTAAAATACACATCCTGATATGAGTTGGCACTAATCATACACACAAAGTGCTCGCCACGAATGAGCCACAATCCTTCGCTAATCGCGTCAGGGAACATGAACACAATCTACACCATGGGAACCTCATTTGCCAGTAAAAATATGATAATTGGTTTTTTACCCTTCTATCTGGCAACAAAACTGACACCTTTTTACAAGGAGTCATGTTTGCATTGACCACAATACCTGCAGTCGTATTACAAACAAAACACACAACTCTGATAATGTACGCACTGTCCTTGAAGTTGATTGGTCCACACCCGAGACAGCTTTCCTTAGAGCCTAGTCTCACATGGTCCTTGAAGTTGATTGGTCCACACCCGAGACAGCTTTCCTTAGAGCCTAGTCTCACATGGTGTTGGACCAGATGACGCCAAACGGCATGTGAGACTAGGCTCTAAGGAAAGCTGTCTCGGGTGTGGACCAATCAACTTCAAGGACAGTGCACATACATTATCAGAGTTATGTCTTTTGTTTGTATTATGACTGCAGGTATTGTGGTCAATGCAACATGACTCCTTGTAAAAAGGTGTCAGTTTTGCTGCCAGATAGAAGGGTAAAGAACCAATTATCATGAACCACAATCACGCGAACTCCGTTCACCATCCTCGCGGCAGCGGCTTTTGGCTCGCTATCGAACAAAGATGGCGGCTATCAAACAAAGATGGCGGCCACCACGTCGCGCGGCGCTTTCGGATGCGCTTCTGCGGCCGTCTGGAACGCTCTTGCTGCCGATATTTGGAAGCCCACTGAGGCTGTGCACGTTCAAAGCGTCGCTGTACGGTGCTTTTCCTGGAATATTTTTGCTACTTTTGCTGGATTTTTCTGTTTGCGCAAAGTCACTTTAAGATGTTTTCTTGTTCATGTTTTTGTTTTTTGTTTGTTGCGGTTGCACCCGATTCAAGAGCCGAATGGCTCACAGGGCTACACCAAATACATGAAACTGAAAAACTGAAATCAATTAGATAGAAGACTAATTTCTTCAAAAATGATTTGTGTTTAGTTCGTTTTCCTTCCCCCGCACCGACAGTTAGTATGGCTGGCTACATACGGTGCGAAAGTAGTTAAACATACACACATACAAACGCTGAAACTTCACTTTATCATACGCATTATCAGTGGAACCCTAGCACTCATGCATACCGGTCTGCGCACAAAGTCAGCTTTGGACGAGGGTAGCTTTTGCTGAATTCCCCCCAAAAATTTAATGAAATTGACAGAAAACAAAAAGGCTATACAATGCGAAAGAAGCTCATACGTACGTAGTGTAATAGCGCTGGCTGGTGACCATCAGCGGCAACTGCGGTGTACAAACAGTGCACACGCCGGTGAGCATATACACGGTGTGTGTGTCGGCAGGGCGGAGGAATTTGGCCAAGGGTCACGGAAGGCCCATTTGGGAGCCCCTGGTACCTAAAAGCTCGTCTCGTCGTAGCTGTCGTCTCATTGCCATCGTCGCTGCCATCTTCGTTTGATCGCAGCGACGAGAGACCCATATTCAGAGAGACCCATAGATCCGCAGAGGGAGAGAAATCTGCGCAACCACCACTGGGAGAGAGTCACCACAAACTCCAAATGTACAGCAGCAGGCATCAGGGTCAGGATCAAACCCACGACCTCCTGCACACCAGGCGAGGCAGTTAACATCTCGCCAAACTCCGCACCCGTCTAAGAGACTACATCACCCTAAAGATTCCAATCCCTTCAGTGGCTCCCAATACCAATTTTGGAATAATTTCAAGATCACATTGGCATCGAAAATCAGCAAAAACGGACAAGGTGATGTCCACCTCAGAGAGATGGAGCTGTGAGATCAGAAGCTACAGGAACCATGAGCGATGTAGAGTGCACGAGGAGGCCTTCATCCAGCAGTTTGTGTGGCTGGCTATGATGAAAGTTGATGGGCACTTAATTGTATAGCCACCATTGCTGATATTATCTCAGTTATGAAAACTCAACAGTGACGGGGCAATCCACACTTGAGTGGCTTGACTGGCTTCCACCTCGAGTCGTCTGGATCTTTGACGATCCTGCATCAGAGAACGTCGCAAGGAAACGGGGCGAGAGGCAAAACATTCAGCGATCAACACAGCGGCAGGAGACTTGTGCGACTGCTGTGATAGCAAACTGGATTTGAAGCTTTTGTGACTGCAGGAATTACTCTTTGGTTCTGTCGGTGAAGTCGCGTAGAACGAAAATAAATTAGATAATAGAATAACGATGTTTCGATTGCAACGCAAGCAGCCGTCATCAGGTAGAACTCAATTTTATAGACAAAACACAGACACGGAGACACACAAGCAGAGAGACACACAACACAGACACACAACACAGACACACAACATAGACACACAACATAGACACACAGAGAGAGACCCACAGAGACACAGAGAGAGACACACAACACAAACACACAACATAGACACACAACATAGACACACGTGTCTATGTTGATGACGGCTGCTTGTGTTGCAATCGAAACGTCGTACTCCATGATTTAATCTATTTTCTCTCTACGTGACTTTACCGAAAGAACCACAGAGTTCTGTTATAGCAAGTCAAGTCAAAGGTAAGTTCCTGCTCAAATTAGTATTGAGGTACAGACCTGAGAGACACATAACATAGACACACAGAGAGAGACACACAACATAGACACACAGAGAGAGAAACACACAGAGACACACAGAGAGAGACACAAGCAGAGACACAGAGAGAGACACACACAGAGAGAGAGACAACACAGAGACACACAGAGAGAGACACACACAGAGAGAGAGACACACAGAGACACACAGAGAGAGACACACAACATAGACACACAACACAGACACACAGAGAGAGACACACAGAGAGAGACACAACATAGACACAAAGAGAAAGACACACACAGAGACACACAGAGAGAGACACACAACATAGACACAGAGAGAGAGACACACACAGAGACACACAGAGAGAGACACACAACATAGACACAGAGAGAGAGACACACACAGAGACACACAGAGAGAGAGACACAACATAGACACACAGAGAGAGACACAAGCAGAGACACACAGAGAGAGACACACACAGAGAGAGAGACAACACAGAGACACACAGAGAGAGACACACAGAGAGAGACACACACAGAGAGAGACACACAACATAGACACACAACACAGACACACAGAGAGAGGTGCAGACCTGAGACTGGTGGAAATTCCATAGTCCTCCTATGGTGGTCGTGGGGGGGTGAATCTATCCATAGGACAATGTTGTGTATGTACCCCCTTTTTAATTTTTTTAATATTTTTTTTTTAAGAATTATTCTGCCAACATAGATAATATCGTTTTTTTAATAGACGCGGCAACGTGGGAACGAACACGCCCCCACACTTTCACAGAGGCCCCCACACTACCACAGATGTGCGCACACCTCATTTCAAAGGAAAGAGGGCATGAAAGAGGGTAATCAAGATCATAAAAACTCCCCTAAATTCACACAAGAGGAACAAGGGAGGGGGAAATTGCAGGCGGGGGGGGGGGGGTCAGCAGGACATCCTTTTGTTAAAAAAACCCCACAGAACCAGGCACCACGGAGGAAGAGATAATTATATTCTTAACAAAGAAACAGCATTGAGGACAGAAAGCACAGACGGGTCTTTGAACCATGTTAGATACACAAAGTTACCAACTTAACCATGAAGATTAAGCAAACAGTATCCATCCTCACTCCAATTGAAAACCAGACTACAGTCTGCACCAGAATCGCGACCCATCATTGTTAATTAAATACTGACATTATTTACCTTTAAAGAATATCTACACGGCCGGGCCGAAACATCAAAGAATAATTATGGCATCTATTTCGCTCCAAAACAAAATTCCTAGCCGGGATATCAGATTAAATAATCACAAGAAGTCAAATAATAAGTACGGAATTAAAGTAGAAGAGAAATCAAGGGCGGATAAGGCTCTCAAAATTAACCAAACACAACACCCCAAGCGAGCAACACGGCCGTCTTTGTCTTCCCGAGAGGATCTCTACACTCACACAACAAAGCCAATAAAACTCCCGGGCAATGGCTCAAAGGAAATTAACACGTCTTCAGAAAATAAATAAATAAGCGCATGCGCCGGGTGCTCCCACCGTGGAAACAACCGCCTTTGTCTCCCCACAACACGGACAGCAAAAATTGCACACGCGAGGAAATAACATTTCCATGAGAGATCGGGTCACGATGAAACATCGTGAACACGGTTTCGGCATAACTGGGCATAATGGAAATAAGTCGCATTTAAACTTCCAAACCAAAAACAACTTAAGCTGTGTGAGACAAAAGATATGATCCCCGAGCAAGGGAGGGAATAATTAAGCTCGCTTAACGCGTAGGTTTTCGCGACAAATATTATTCAATAACAAAACATGGATTCGAATGTTTTTTTTATACATAACTCGACGCGAATCATCGGTCTGGCTAATGGATAACTTTGGTGGCGCCTTCACGAGGCCCCCACCCCTTTCTTCCAGAACGACACACAGCGGTGTCTTCAAAGCTAATAAACACACGGACGGACACACACACGGACGCAGATGGTCCACCCCCACAGGGATGTTTTATGACAGACTTTGAACAACTCGGGAAACGGAGTGGAATTTACAGATATAAACCGAAGGAAAATCCATTCAAAGCATCTCGTCCGGGCCACGGGCCCCACCAGCAGATCGCCAGGGCTCGGAGCCCCATCTCGTCCGGGCTAAGGCCCACCAGCAGATCATCCGGGCCACGAGCCCCATCTCGTCGCCAGGGCTTCGGCTCCACCACAGATCGCCAGGGCTCTGAGCCCCATCTCGTCTCCGGGCTAAGGCCCACCAGAGATCTCCAGGGCGACAGCCATCTCTCCTCGTCGCCGACAACGAAGAAGTTTTCGTCATCCAGAATGACGAGGTTCGCGGAGTAGCGACGCGCAGCTACAAGCCGAGGTCTGCACCACCTGAGAAGAATCGCTACCCTGAGTCGCAGAGCTGCGAGTGAAGCCAACAAAGACGCCAACGTCCACCCTGCCACGAACGAAGCATCGCTCCTCGTCAGAGTGACGACCAGCGAACAACCCGCAGGAAAGGCGGAGATCGCTGAACGAGCGCCACCGTGCGCCACCGTGCGCCACCGTGCGCCACCTTGCGCCACCGTGCGCCACCGTGCGCCACCTTGCGCCACCGTGCGCCACCGTGCGCCACCGAGCGACAACGAGCGACACCCGGATCGACCAGCATCAACCAAAACCGACTCGTCATCCCGCCGTGGAGAAAAAGAGTCAAAGTCTTCTGAACGAGCGCCGCCGCTCACCTCACAGCGGAGAAAGTCTCAGCTGCCGCTCGCACAGACAACAGAGAGGTCGTATCGCTCCCCACATACAGACTCAAGGAAACAGAGAAAATCTTGTCAAACCAGTTCCTTTGTCAAAGAGTCTCGAAGAAGAATTAATTAAAACAGAGCCAGATTAGCTCTCCCGCAACACGCCCTCACCCACCAGTATATACATACACTTTTGGGATACAATAAGTGCTTTTTATTACCGCAAAATGAAGTGTGTCATGCTTGTTTCAAACTCGGCCAGTCGCCGATTGTGATCGATGAAAAAAAACCGAACTAATGAGATGCCTGGTTGTTAGGAGGGTTTTTAGTCATTCAGTTCGTTAAATGCATAAGAGTTTTGAGTCATTCATTTTAGTCAAACGCATAGTCTCGTAATTGCATAATAATTTTAGTTATTAATATTAATCGAATGCATGATATCGCAAATGCATAAGTGTTTGGTTATTCATGAATTATTGACGCATGTTTGACCTGCATGATAGAATGCCACGTGTTTGTTAGAATAAAATTGTTATCAGAGAAGCATATCGAGTGTTCCTTCCAAGTCCATGCAAAACTATCTTATTCATAAGAGCTGTTACCTGCGATGAGATATGAAAATGGAGACCTAAAATACTATAACACCCACTAGGATAATCGGTAAATGAATCTATGATAATCGTGTTATCCTGATTGATAACTCTGGATAAACGAAACTAAGCAAATTATCATAACTGCACACATTAACATAATCGTAAGCCTCCGCATAAATTACTACGATTATCTCCGTGATTATCATAATGTATGCATATAATTACACGCATTATCATAATTTATGCATAGTAATACACACATTAACATAATTAATGCGATTTGCGCATTTTTTTGAAAATTATTCATTTTTATTATTTTTATAAAAATTTCATAACCCAACACATACAACAACAACAACCACTTGATTTTCACAGGGTTCATCAGCTGAGGATTGTCAAAACGATGGCTAGGAGATGTTGACTACCTCGCCTGGTCTACAGGAGGTCGTGGGGTCGATCCCGACCCTGACGCCTGCTGCTGCTGTATATTTGGAGTTTGCGTGTCTCTCATCATCATCATCACGGTGGGTAGGAGATGTTAACTACCTCGCCTGGTGTGCAGGAGGTCGTGTGTTTGCGTCTCTCTCTCTCTCATCATCATCACGGTGGCTATGAGATGTTAACTATCTCGCCTGGTGTGCAGGAGGTCGTGTGTTTGCGTGTCTCTCTCATCATCATCATCACGGTGGCTAGGAGATGTTGACTACCTCGCCTGGTCTACAGGAGGTCGTGGGGTCGATCCCAACCCTGACGCCTGCTGCTGTATATTTGATGTATTATCATTTACTGAACTATTAAACGAAACTACAACAAAACCATTTTTATTTGACCAGGTGTCACGCCCAGGCTGAGCTGTATAGTTCCCTTTCAGAAGCGACTTGGCCATCGCAAATGATAGCTCAACGAAGGGGATTATCGTCATCAAGTTGCCATTTATAGCAGCAGCCGAATTATAGTAATAGCGTTTTACCCTTCTATCTGGCAACAAAACTGACACCTTTTTTTTACGAGGAGTCATGTTTGCATTGACCACAATACCTGCAGTCGTAATGCAAAAAAAGGTGTCAGTTTTGTTGCCAGATAAAAGGGTAAAAAAACAATTATCATATTTTTTCTACTGACAAATGAGGTTCCAATGGTGTAAATGCTTCACCCCGAGCTCTCATACTCTGATGGTGCATTGTGTTAGAGTTGTGCGCCTTTTGGCGTCATCTGGTCCAACACCATGTGAGACTAGGCTCTAAGGAAAGCTGTCTCGGGTGTGGACCAATCAACTTCAAGGACCATGTGAGACTAGGCTCTAAGGAAAGCTGTCTCGGGTGTGGACCAATCAACTTCAAGGACCATGTGAGACTAGGCTCTAAGGAAAGCTGTCTCGGGTGTGGACCAATCAACTTCAAGGACCATGTGAGACTAGGCTCTAAGGAAAGCTGTCTCGGGTGTGGACCAATCAACTTCAAGGACAGTGCATACATTATCAGTATCAGAGTTGTCTTTTTGTTTGCATTTTGACCGCAAGTGTTGTGGTCAATGCAAACATGACTCCTTGCAAAAAGGTGTCAGTTTTGTTGCCAGATAAAAGGGTAAAAACCTATCACTATATCTTGCTACTGGCAAAGGAGGTCTCATAATGTAAAGCAGCCAAATTATCTAAACGCGTGATGTTGATTCTAAACGTGGAGGTAAAAATTCCGGGGAAAAATCCACGCAACCACGAGGAGAGAGAGAGACGCAGACTCCAAATACACAGCAGCAGGCATCGTCAGAATCGGGGTCGAACCCACGACCTCCTGCACACGAGGCGAGGTAGTCAACATTTACCTATTCACCATGGCCTCAGGGTCGGGATCAAACCTCTGACCTCCTGCACACCACGCGAGGTAGTCAACATCTCCTAGCCACCACGGTGTCAGGGTCGGGGTCGAACCCACGACCTCCTGCACACCAGGCGAGGTAGTCAACATCTCCTAGCCACCATGGTGTCAGGGTCGGGATCGAACCCACGACCTCCTGCACACCAGGCGAGGTAGTCAACATCTACCTAGCCACCATGGTGTCAGGGTCGGGGTCGAACCCACGACCTCCTGCACACCAGGCGAGGTAGTCAACATCTACCTAGCCACCATGGTGTCAGGGTCGGGGTCGAACCCACGACCTCCTGCACACCAGGCGAGGTAGTCAACATCTACCTAGCCACCATGGTGTCAGGGTCGGGGTCGAACCCACGACCTCCTGCACACCAGGCGAGGTAGTCAACATCTACCTAGCCACCATGGTGTCAGGGTCGGGGTCGAACCCACGACCTCCTGCACACCAGGCGAGGTAGTCAACATCTACCTAGCCACCATGGTGTCAGGGCCGGGGTCGAACCCACGACCTCCTGCACACCAGGCGAGGTAGTCAACATCTACCTAGCCACCATGGTGTCAGGGTCGGGGTCGAACCCACGACCTCCTGCACACCAGGCGAGGTAGTCAACATCTCCCTAGCCACCACGGTGCTTACCGAGGTTGTCCAGCCACACGCGCAACTGCTGAGGGTAGTGGTCTTGCACGGCTCTCAGAGCCACCAGAAGCTTCTGGTAGCCCGCCTCCCCGTCGATGAAATGGTCGAGGATGTAGGCGGCGCACTCGTCCTTGCTCTCCATGTTCTTGGCCGTGATGTAGAACGAGCGCTGGGCGTACCACTTGCTGTCGATCTCGTCAAGCAGCAGCGAGGGGTCGAGGGCGATCCACGCCTTGAGTTCGTCCTTGTTGCCCTGGACGACCGCCTCCGTCTCCTCCTCCACCACCACGATGTGGGCTTCGTTCGCTGTGGCACGGAAAGAAAATTGACGAAAAATCGTGGATATATGTTCGGTGGATTATCGATTATCCTGCGGCTTTGTAAAGGAAGGGGGCGCAAGATTTTCACTACTCATCATCATTTAAGACAGCTTATTTTTGCGCATTATAATTTCTTATTTGTCGTACGTTCTATGTTTTTCAGCGTTTTAAATTCGTTTACTATGTGAGATTGGAAAAAGGAAACGGAAAAATAGACAAAAAATAAATATGCTACTGTTCCGTTGTTACCACTCCAATTTCGAAGGCTCTGCATTTGGGTGGTGTACGTAGCACTACTTAGCTCTTGTTTCAACAACAACAACCGACTGTCTGACGATCGCCGAAACGATGCAGCCTTTAGACCGGCGGCTCTGGCGACTGTTTAGTTAGACTTTGTAACTTTAGTATAGTTAGATTGGCGCCTTTTGGCGTCATCTGGTCCAACACCATGTGAGACTAGGCTCTAAGGAAAGCTGTCTCGGGTGTGGACCAATCAACTTCAAGGACAGTGCACATACATTATCAGAGTTATGTTTTTTGTTTGCATTATGACTGCAGGTATTGTGGTCCATGCAAACATGACTCATCGTAAAAAAAGGTGTCAGTTTTGTTGCCAGATAGAAGGGTAAAAATACCAATTATCAGCACACAGATAATCGAGTGTCACCTGTACTCCACGTGTTTCTTCGTTTCTCAGTCCACTTTTCCTGGTCAGGGTCACAGAGGCAACAGTATGTTGAGTAAGGCGGTCCACACCTCCCTCTCCCTGGCGACAGACTGCAGCTGTTCCTGGAGAGGTTTGCAGGCCAGCCGAGCGACATAGTCCCGTCAGCATTTACTGGGCCAGCCATGAGGTCTGTGCCCAGTGGGACATGCTGCCCGGTAGAGTTCCAGGGAAAGTCTACCAAGTGTCTGAACCACCTCAACTGGCTCCTTTCGATCTGGAGGAGCAGCGGCTCAACTCTGAGGCTTTCCCAGATTACCGAGCTTCTCACCCGATCACGGAGAGTGAGCCCGACAACCCTGCGTAGAAACCTCATTTTGGCCCCTTGTACCCGTGATTTCATCCTTTCGGTCATTACCCAAAGCTCATGACCATAGGTGAAGGTGGGAACGTAGATCGACCAGCAAACCGCGAGCTTTGTTGGAGAACTCAGCTCCTGGTTCTCTATCACGGAACGGTACAGCGCCTGCAACACTGCGGCCACCGCACCGATCTGACGGCCGATCTCCCGTTTCCCACTTACCATCGCTTGCGGAAGAAACCCCGAGGTACTTAAACTCCTCCACTAGGGGCAGCTGTTTCAAGGGCTGCCTCCTGAGAGGAGGGCATGTCCACCTGGTGGAGGAGCTCCTAACTAATGTTCCTTCCACCTCTCGACTATCTCCTTAGTCGAGGTCAATGTTACGCCACCCTTGCTGAGCACAGCTGGCCCACTTCCCGTCGACCCCTCCTAAGGTGGTTTGCCAGAACATCTTTGAGGCTGCCCAGTAGTCCCTCTTCATGGCCTCTACAAACTAGCCACTGCTAACGCTGCCGCCATCTTGGCAAACCGGTATTGCTCAATGGAGTCGAGAGACCTTTTCCTGAGCAAAGCTCAAAAAGACTCCGTCTTCAACTTGACAGCTTCCCTCACCGCTGGTGTCCACCAGCGGGTCCTAGGGCTGCCTAGGACCCGCACCCATCTTCTATCATCCCATCGCCCTGTAACAATGGAGCGTTGGCCATGCGCGCGTGTAGTGCGACTCGCAGGTTTATATGCCGCGGTCACAGCCGCCGTACCGAGAGTCTCGAGCCAAACGTTGACCTCCGGATAGCAGCTCCTGAGGTCTTGCAGCGTGCACAGGAGCTGATGGCACCTCTTCTCTTCTCCGTCGATGAAGTGGTCAAGCAGGAAGCCCGCACGCTCCAGTTCAAAGGAAATGCTCCGGGCTCTGGAGAGAATCTCCGCGGAGAGGAGTTGCTTCTTGTCCAGCTCTTTGAGCAGAGGCGAGGAGTTCTTGCCGAGCCAACGCTTCAACTCGGGTTTCTTGCCTCGGATCACGTGAAGCGCGTTCCCAGCCACGACCACGATGCGGTTATCTGCGTGAAGAAAACCACCACAAGTCGTTTTAGTTTGACGCTTTGAAGGCGGCAATCACCATCCACAATCGTGCCATGTGGACTCCCCCCCCCCCCCCCCCATTTCAAACTTCTCCTGCCTTGTCATCTCACTCTACTCCCCTCCACGCACTTTCCTACCTCTCCCCTCTCATCTATTAAAACTATTTTTTATACCAGGTAAGGCACCATTGAGCTGTACAGTTCTGTTTCAGAAGCGACCCTTCTATCACAAATGATAGCACCTCAACGAGGTGGCACAGGCAATGTCCATGCTCTTATGGAAGAACATTCCACGTTGTACATCGTTTAGTTATGAGTAGCAACTTTACAGTCCTTAACCACAACACATATTGGAGACCCCTCCCCATAACTGTAATCGTACTAGGCTTTTTTAAAAATCATATTTGATAGTGTTTAAAGTATAATAAATGTAAGTACATGTTTAATACATTTTTTTTAGATATGTTTGTAATGTTAGGCTTAGGGGATTGTTCCTAGCGACACATCACATTTTATTGTTGTAGTAGATTAGTAATCAGTTAATTAGCATTGTTTCCTCTACAAGGAATTGTACTTGTAAGACGTATCACTTAATAATACTCTTTACTCTCCCAACACACTGGTGAGCTGAAGTAGTAACTAATTGGCGTTTTGTTTACGTAACAAATCCCTTACGAACTGTCTGTCAGGTGGTGGAGAGTTACGACACATTTATACTGGCACGATCTAACCCCAAAAAAACTATATTATGTATACTATTGGTCGCGAAAGCCTACTAGCTAAACTATTATTATTATAACGTAAACACGTACCTTTAGTCAGCATTTTAACGTTAGTCGTGGGGTCCTATGGGAGTTGAAACAATAACTGAAAAACCCATGTCACTGTTAACCGAGGTACCGCTGTATACATTTTGGCAGTCGCCTACAGTATAGAGTACTCAGTAAATAGGCTTTCTTTTTCCCACTGCTGGCTATGCCTATGCTTGCTGTTGACGTGAAGTGTGTTTTATATCGTTGCTTGACTTGCCACGGACAGTTGGAGAACCGGTTGCACCCGGACATTCTGTAACAACAAGCACACGTTGGAAACGACAGTGAAAATGTCACAATTCTTTTTTTTAGCCGTTGCAACTTCACGCGTTAAAACACACCTCATCAAAAATCACGTGGGGCAGGGAAGGGTGAACCAACAGGCAGTGGGACATATGAGGCCCACGACTTCGTAGTCTGAGCGATGTAAACGTTGAGTTTGTCACACATTTACGCCATTTAACCCCCCCCCCCCACCCACCCAAAAGAACGTTACTATGAGTAATTCTAGATTTGAAGCTTTCGTGACTGCAATGATTCATACTCTTAGGCTTTTTCGGTAAAGTCACGTAGGTAGAAAAATAGTAAAATTAAAATTAATAAAATTAACAAGTAATAACAGTATGAGTAATGTTGATCGCGAAAGCCTCTACCACTACGGTGTTACATTTTAAAATAAACTTCTGGGCCACGAACTTTCAAGGTACGCCGAGCCTGGCTCCGTGCCTCAGAGTTGCGGTTATTTACGTCCATAAAATCTTGTGCGTGTGGTAAATTGCAATTATTATTATCATCATTACCTTGGCAACATAATCTGTACAACAGTATCGATTTAAAGCTTTCGTGACTGCAGGGATTCATCTTCTTGGTTCTTTCGGTAAAGTCACGTAGAAGGGAAGTAATAAAATAATACAAATAAAACATAATAAAATACAATTCTCACGACGTTTCGGCATCAACGCAAGCAGCCGTCCTCAGGTGAAGAACAGGTCTGTTGGGAAGGCAGCATCTGAATGGCGCTGTCTCCCCGACATTCAGACGCTGTCTCCCCGACAGACCTGTTCTTCACCTGAGGACGGCTGCTTGCGTTGTGGCCGAAACGTCGTGAGAATTATTTTATCATGTTTAATTTTTATTATTTTATTACTTCCCTTCTACATGACTTTACCGAAAGAACCAAGAAGATGTACAACAGTAGTAGCGTCACTGCAAGGACCTCTTGATACATCGGTCGAAATGAACACGGCTTCGGTTTTCTAGACCACTGGGTCACGTCACAACCGCTGCGATTGTTAATGTCGTTCACCCCTTCAAGTTCCGAGACGTCTGCAAGCAGCTTGGCGTCCATTTTGTTTAGAGAGGCATGGCAGCGGCGCCATTTTGTTTAGAGAGGCGTGGCAGCGGCGCCATTTTGTTTAGAGAGGCGTGGCAGCGGCGTCCATTTTGTTTAGAGAGGCGCGGCAGCGGCGTCCATTTTGTTTAGAGAGGCGTGGCAGCGGCGTCCATTTTGTTTAGAGAGGCGTGGCAGCGACGCCATTTTGTTTAGAGAGGCGTGGCAGCGGCGTCCATTTTGTTTAGAGAGGCGCGGCAGCGGCGTCCATTTTGTTTAGAGAGGCGTGGCAGCGGCGTCCATTTTGTTTAGAGAGGCGTGGCAGCGGCGTCCATTTTGTTTAGAGAGGCGCGGCAGTGGCGTCCATTTTGTTTAGAAAGGCGTGGCAGCGACGTCCATTTTGTTTAGAGAGGCGTGGCAGCGGCGCCATTTTGTTTAGAGAGGCGCGGCAGCGGCGTCCATTTTGTTTAGAGAGGCGCGGCAGCGGCGTCCATTTTGTTTAGAGAGGCGTGGCAGCGGCGCCATTTTGTTTAGAGAGGCGCGGCAGCGGCATCCATTTTGTTTAGAGAGGCGCGGCAGCGGCGTCCATTTTGTTTAGAGAGGCGTGGCAGCGGCGTCCATTTTGTTTAGAGAGGCGTGGCAGCGACGCCATTTTGTTTAGAGAGGCGTGGCAGCGGCGTCCATTTTGTTTAGAGAGGCACGGCAGCGGCGTCCATTTTGTTTAGAGAGACGTGGCAGCGGCGTCCATTTTGTTTAGAGAGGCGCGGCAGCGGCGTCCATTTTGTTTAGAGAGGCGTGGCAGCGGCGCCATTTTGTTTAGAGAGGCGTGGCAGCGGCGTCCATTTTGTTTAGAGAGGCGCGGCAGCGGCGTCCATTTTGTTTAGAGAGGCGTGGCAGCGGCGCCATTTTGTTTAGAGAGGCGCGGCAGCGGCGTCCATTTTGTTTAGAGAGGCGCGGCAGCGGCGTCCATTTTGTTTAGAGAGACGTGGCAGCGGCGTCCATTTTGTTTAGAGAGGCGCGGCAGCGGCGTCCATTTTGTTTAGAGAGGCGCGGCAGCGACGCCATTTTGTTTAGAGAGGCGTGGCAGCGGCGTCCATTTTGTTTAGAGAGGCGCGGCAGCGGCGTCCATTTTGTTTAGAGAGGCGTGGCAGCGGCGCCATTTTGTTTAGAGAGGCGCGGCAGCGGCGTCCATTTTGTTTAGAGAGGCGCGGCAGCGACGCCATTTTGTTTAGAGAGGCGTGGCAGCGGCGTCCATTTTGTTTAGAGAGGCGTGGCAGCGGCGTCCATTTTGTTTAGAGAGGCGCGGCAGCGACGCCATTTTGTTTAGAGAGGCGTGGCAGCGACGCCATTTTGTTTAGAGAGGCGCGGCAGCGGCGTCCATTTTGTTTAGAGAGGCGTGGCAGCGACGCCATTTTGTTTAGAGAGGCGTGGCAGCTACGCCATTTTGTTTAGAGAGGCGTGGCAGCGGCGCCATTTTGTTTAGAGAGGCGTGGCAGCGACGCCATTTTGTTTAGAGAGGCGTGGCAGCGACGCCATTTTGTTTAGTGAGGCGTGGCAGCGACGCCATTTTGTTTAGAGAGGCGTGGCAGCGACGCCATTTTGTTTAGAGAGGCGTGGCAGCGGCGTCCATTTTGTTTAGAGAGGCGTGGCAGCGGCGTCCATTTTGTTTAGAGAGGCGTGGCAGCGACGCCATTTTGTTTAGAGAGGCGTGGCAGCGACGCCATTTTGTTTAGAGAGACGTGGCAGCGGCGTCCATTTTGTTTAGAGGCGTGGCAGCGGCGCCATTTTGTTTAGAGAGGCGTGGCAGCGGTGTCCATTTTGTTTAGAGAGACGTGGCAGCGGCGCCATTTTGTTTAGAGAGGCGTGGCAGCGACACCATTTTGTTTCTACGACGCCATCGGTACTCACCGCAGAGAACTGTAGCAACACGACCGCCGCCACTCTACGACAGCCGGTGCGCAGAAACCGTGCCACACACGCTCTGCCGCATGGCGGTGTGGGAGCCTCTGTACCCATCAAGTTACTTGATACTCTTAGGTTTTTTTCGGTAAAGTCACGTAGGTGAAAAATAAGTAATAAAAATAAAAAATAAAAATAATAGAAATCTATGACTATTTATATTGTTTTTATTATTTATTTTAATGATAGAGATCGATTATTTTTATTATTTATTATTAACCATTTTATTTATTTATTTTAATAATATAAATCTATTATTATTTCTATTATTGATTATTATTTATAATAGAAATCTATTATTATTTCTATTATTTATTGATATTTATTATTTATTATTTATTTTTATAATGGAAATCTATTATTAAATCTATTTTTTATTTTATTCTTATATATTCTTACCTACGTGACTTTACCGAAAAAACCCAAGAGTATGAATCGTTGCAGTCACGAAAGCTTCACATCTAGAATTAAAGTTACTTGAATTTTAGTTTTGTTACCAGTTCCATTTGAGAACGGAATTGAATCGGAAGGAAAACTGATGACGTACACATACGTACACGTACCTCATTGGAACGGGAAAGGGTTACTAAAGGTGCATCGGGTAGTAACAATGACGATACCTACAGCATTACCCAGGTTGGCTGCTCAACCTCAGAACTACGACCTCTGAGCACAATACATTGTGCCGAGCTCACTTAGCTTCTAGATTTAAAGCTGTTCGTGACGGCAGGGATTCATCTTCCTGGTTCTTTCGGTAAAGTTACGCAGAAGTGAAATAATAAAATAATAAAAATATAAAACAATAAAATTCTCACGACGCTTCGATTGCAACACAAGCAGCAATCATCATCAGGTGTGAAAACCACAGCACGAACATTTGAAGAAAAAAAACATGAATTTCGATTTAAAGCTTTCGTGACTGCAGGGATTCATCTTCTTGGTTCTTTCGGTAAAGTCATCACGTAGAAGGGAAGTAATAAAATAATAAAATTGAAACATAATAAAATACAATTCTCACGACGTTTCGGCCACAACGCAAGCAGCCGTCCTCAGGTGAAGAACAGGTCTGTCAGACGCTGTCTCCCCGACAGACCTGTTCTTCACCTGAGGACGGCTGCTTGCGTTGTGGCCGAAACGTCTTGAGAATTGTATTTTATTATGTTTTATTTGTATTATATTATTACTTCCCTTCTACGTGATGACTTTACCGAAAGAACCAAGAAGAGCTCACTTAGCTTCTAGATTTGAAGCTTTCGTGACTGCAAGGATTCATATTCTTAGGTTTTTTTCGGTAAAGTCACGTAGGTAAAAAAATTAAATTAATAAAAGTAAATTAAAAAAAAAGTTAACCCGTAAAAACAAAGTTTTTCACTATAAATCCTTTATGTGCGTGGCATCGGTTATATTTTATTATTCATTTCTGTTTTTCTTGAGTAAGAGTTTCATTTTTATCACATTGGTATTTTAAATTAAATATGAATTTTTTTTTTCCTAAAAAGTGTAAAATTTTGGAAATTTGTTTTTCACGAAAATAAATTGTCACGCACAACGAGTCTGTGTGCAAAATGTCAGCTCGATTGGATCACGGGAAGTGGGTTAAAAAACGACCGAAAGATTTGCACGGTCGTAAGCGCGCAAGCAAGCAAGCAAGTGAACCTAATATAAAGGATTTAAAAATATATATATTTCTCACTTAGCTTATCCAGCCAGGTACGTAGCTTGGGGTCATAGTGTCTCTGGACGGCCCTCAGCGCCACAAGCAGCTTCTGGTATCCCTGTCCTCCGGACACGAAGTGGTCGAGGAGGAAGCTGGCGCACTCTAAGCCATCCCTCTTGTCCCTGACTTGGGTGTAGACGCGCCGCTCGATGTACCACTTGCTGTCCATCTCGTCCAGGAGGAAGGTTGGGTCTTTGGAGATCCACTGGATGAGGTTGTCCCGGTTGCGAGAGATCTGCTCTTCGATGTCCTCCTCCACAACCACAATCTGTGCCTCGTCCTCTGCGGTGTGATCGTGAGGCAACAGGTTCGTAAAACAAAACAGGCGCGCACGAGGATTATGCGGTAGTTGAGCGAGATGCCTTTTGTCTTCAGCAGTTTAACAGAATCGGAAGTTATCGGGTAACCGACAATATTTTTTGCACATCAACAAGTAGCCATTTTGCCAATTTTTACATCAGGATTTCGACAACATTTTCTAAAGCAAGCTTATAATTACATCTCATACTTGATAATCATTTGCTATATATTTGATTTTTGTTATGAGAGTTATTGTGGCGCCCTGTTGCAGTCAAATAAATGTGTGGACAGACAGAGCTAAGGAATGAACTCCTTCAAGCCAATGTGGAAAGCATCAATCATACAAATTTACCATCCCTTTGCTGACTACAAAATATTGGGGTTGAAAGGACCATGGGTGGATTTCCACCACCAGAGTGAAATAGTTACAGATGCAGGTGTGGGAATTATTGTCTTGTTATGGAAAACAATTCCCATACCTGAGCAATGTGGTCATGAACATCTGCAGTTTCGCAATGGAGGTCTTACTTCAGATTAGTTGAGCAGCATTATATTTGCATTGACTGCTTGACGCTGTACAGAAGTTACCTGGCCTATCACTCCATATGAAGCTCTGGCTCATCTCAGCCTGTTAGCCTCTCTTTTCTCTATGCTTGAAAAAGATGGACACCCCTTCAAAAAAGACATGTGCTGACTTGGAAACATTCAGGCTGGCCTGACTATGATACATCCTGGGTTTAACCAGACTGGATTAGATTTTGAGGAACTCCCAAATCGTTGAAAGATCTGGACAAGGTCCCCATCATCAGTTTGCTCCTCCTGCAGGGCAAGGTTACATTGGCTGGGTAATGAAGATCTCATGCCCAGCCACTGCATGCCATACCTGCTGCTGATTGATCAAATAGAGGGGGCTTAATGGGGGGGGGGGGGGGCACGGAATGGGTTAGATAATCTGATGTGGTGGTACAAGAGGATGTGGAGCTGATTGGACTCGCCAATGACTGGTACTTGTAGGTGTCAATAATCGGCCTCTGGGAAAGAGGCGTCTGAAGGACGCTACTGGACATTCGGAGGCACTTGCATTCAAGCAACAATAGTGGGGCAAAGGAGATACGCTCACAATGAGTGGTGGAGTGCCAGACAAAAACAGAGCAAGATGTGGGGCCAATTGCAATCATCAAAAGAGCCCTTAGTCAATTACGATGTTTCATCCATCAATCAGCGTTAACTTATTGTTCCAGCTCTATCTTGAACTTCAGACACTGCTAATAGTATTCTTAGCACACGTACCAAGGCGGTGAAGCCAGTGTTTGATTTCTGGATATTGTTCCTTGAGGTCTTGGAGCGTTTCCAGCAGCTTCTGACACTTCCGCTCGCCTCCGTCAATGAAGTAGTCGAGCAGCAAACACACGCCCTCCAACTGTTGGGGATTCTTCTTGGCTTTGGAGAGGACCTCCTTTGAGATGAACGTCTTTGTGTTCAGCTCATCCAGAAAGTACGAGGGGTTCCTGCTGAGCCAACGCTTCAACTCGGGTTTCTTGCGTCGGATCACGTGCAGAGCGTTCCCAGGAACAACCACGATCTTGTTGCTTTCATCTGTCAAGAACGTGGACAACGGTTATCGTGCCTCACTGCGGTAGCAAAGTGACGCTCAAACTTACGTCTCACCTCATGATGCCTCCTTTGCCAGTATTCAGTTATGATAATAAGGGTTTCCCCTTTCTGTCAATAAAACAGTTGGTGTTAAGATATTAAAGCACCAAACTGAAACCTTTTGCAAGGAATCATGTCTGCATTAACCACATATACTTGTGGTGAACATGCAAAAAAAAAATGCTCTCACAGTATGTGCATTGTCTTTGAAACGGATTGTTCCACACCAGAGACAGCTTTCTTTAGAGCCTAGTCTCAAACAGTGTTACACCAGAGGACACCAAAAGGCAAACAGCACAGTTTGCAAAGTTTTCAGTTTGGCGTTTTAACATCTTTGTAATACGAGCCTATGTCAGACTCACGTGGTGATCGGCTTAGCCAATGGGGGGAGAGCCTGGGAGCATGGCCCCGGCATGATCACGGGATGTCAGCTAGGTGATTGGTTCCGGTGGTCTTGGCATCAGCCAATGGGAAGACAAGTCAGGGGCGTGGTCCCGGGAGTTGATGGGGGATCTGGAACATTCGGCGCAGGCTGTTGAGGATTGGCTGGAGGGTACCACGTGACCCAGGCATTAAATAAGGGGAGAGAGAGGAGAGACACGGGGTCAGACAGGGAACGAAGAGAGGGAGAGGCCACGCGCGAGTGGGGCTCTGGGTGCCACGTGGTGGCGGGTCTCTGGTGACCGTCTGCCCGCTCCCCGTTGCCTGCCAGCAACGGGGAGTGTTTGTGAACTGCAAAGGAAGTGAAATAAAAGGACCGATTCTACAAGCCGTCTCCAGCGTGTTATTACATCTGTATAGCCAGAAAGGGGAAAACCCTTTTACATTGTTTCACAGCAGATCACCTGGAGTTTGATCTTCCACAAAGCTCATAGTCCACCCTAAACCGCATGCTCTGCACAAACCATGGCAGTAGATGCGGATACCTGACGATGCACGAATGGAAAGTAAATAGTACTCTCCGGCAGTGTACGACTGTGGTCATCCAGGACAGACCGTACACAGCATGCAACGATGCAGCAATGCCCGATCCACAAATACAAAGAAGGAGACATCGCGGCTATACTACTCCACCATCTCTCGATGCGGTTAGCTGCTAGCTTCAACACGTGAATGTGGAATTGCCGTCGGTACTTTGCCATGAACATCATCAGCCGCACGAAAGAAGCAGCTGCATTTCCATAATCAGCTGATTATGTCAACCGAACACTTACGTCATCGCCGAAAGCAGCGTCGTCCGTCCTTGTTATTAAATCCTTTATATTAAGTTCACTTGCTTGCTTGCGCACTTACGACCGTGCAAATCTTTCGGTCGTTTTTTAACCCACTTCCCGTGATCCAATCGAGCTGACATTTTGCACACAGACTCGTTGTGCGAGACAATTAATTTTCGTGAAAAAATGTTTCCAAAATTTTACACTGTTTAGGGAAAACAAATTAAATATTTAATTACCAATTGTTTAATACTGCAGACAATCATCTGACCCATAGGTGGCAGCCATCTCAAGCCAGAGGACGAGATGACTCTAGCCGCCACGCATATAAAGGATTTAGAGTGAAAAACTTTGTTTTTACGGGTTATACTTGTTTATATTTCATAGAAGCTCGTTCGTAAGTACGAGTGTTCGTAAGTACGAGTGTTCGTAAGTCCGGCGTTCATAAGTCGAGGACTGCCTGCAAATTTCCTGCGCAACACGCAGATTATGATGTGTCACCATGCTCAGAAGACTCCTTACCTTGGCTGGAAATCACCGAATCATCATCACAATTCAACTTCGCATCTGTTGAATCAATAATTGAAGTGACATGTTAAATATTAGATCAAAACAAAATGGCCGCAATCATAAATGTCACGCAGCGCGCAAAATATTCCAGTGCAGTTGATTAAATGAGCAAATTACATCACTACTTGCGGTGCGGACATATTTATAACATCATCTGAAATTCGAACGTAAATGTCGATAACTTGCAGAGTCCTTGGTACAACATTGCATGGAAATTGTGTATCTGGTGCCTGTTGTAATGCTGAGAAGCATTGCACTGCGTTGTGAAGATGCCCCACGAGGGGCTGTGGGCTATTTCAGCAACACGTAAATGCGTGTGCAAACATCGCTCAGCCTTACGCATGATGCCACACCACAAGTTTCTGAAGAACTGCATTGTTACGGCTGTGAGACACACATCAGTGGTCAGAGGCGGATCGAGAAGAATTGTCTGCGTACAAAAGCCAATGACTTGCAAGAGGCAAATTGGGTGGCCAAATTGAGAGCTCAGTTCCGTCACGAGCGACAAACAGCTTTCTCACTCGACCAACAAATAGACGTATTGGCCGGTACACCGGTGCAGCATAACCCAGTGGTCATCATAAAACAGTTTTAAAAAAAAGGATTTAATAACCCGTAAAAACTAAGTTTTTCACTCTAAATCCTTTATATGCGTGGCGGCTAGATTCCTCTCGTCCTCTGGCTTGAGATGGCTGCCACCTATGGGTCAGATGATTGTCTGCAGTATTAAACAATTGGTAATTAAATATTTAATTAGTTTTCCCTAAACAGTGTAAAATTTTGGAATTTTTTTTCACGAACATTAATTGTCTCGCACAACGAGTCTGTGTGCAAAATGTCAGCTCGATTGGATCACGGGAAGTGGGTTAAAAAACGACCGAAAGGTTTGCACGGTCGTAAGCAAGCAAGCAAGCACACAAGCACGCAAGCAAGCAAGCAAGCGAACTTAATATAAAGGATTTAAAAAATAATCAAAATTTTAATCTGCAAATCTGTTTATCAGTCTTTAATTGACCATGTCACCAAGTTTGACGCGATTCGAAGGTTGATTCAGTCTACCGAGACTCGCTAAAAAGAAAAGGGTTATTATTGACCGATGATTTGCGTCCTGTTGAATCGAGGAAACATCCAATCAAGTCTATGGCCGCAAGAGACTTTCTGATCGGGGTTACGAATCGTGGGAAAAACGAATAATTATTGCGAACAAAATGCTTCTTATATTTTTTAAATCCTTTATATTAAGTTCACTTGCTTGCGTGCTTGCTTGCTTACGACCGGTCAAATATTTCGGTCGTTTTTTAACCCACTTCCCGTGATCCAATCGAGCTGACATTTTGCACACAGACTCGTTGTGCGTGACAATTTATTTTCGTGAAAAAAATGTCCTAAATTTTCCACTTTTAGGAAAAATGTTCTTTCATATTTCATTTAAAATACCAATGTGATAAAAAATGAAACTCTTACTCAAGAAAAACAGAAATGAATAATAAAATAAAACCGATGCCACGCAAATAAAGGATTTATAGTGAAAAACTTTGTTTTTACGGGTTAATTTTTTTATACCGTGCACCAGCCGTGTGCGGCCATTACGTCCAAATGCCCACCGCTGAATCAGAATATCAGAATCAGTATTTATACTGGAGAAATCCGATGAGCGCTAAAGCGCTTTTGTCATAGATATCAATTAGGGGCACGGGGTAAGAACGCTACAACAACAAACACAACAACACAAACAAGATAGTGGTGCAAAGTACAAGAAAGGTAAACAAATCACCCAAACACCAATGGAACCTCCTTTGCTAGGAGCAAAATATGATAATTGGTTTTTTTACCCTTTTATCTGGCAACAAAACTGACACCTTTTTTTTATGAGGAGTCATGTTTGCATTGACCACAATACCTGCGGTCGAAATGCGAACAAAAAACATAACTCTGATAATGTATGCACTGTCCTTGAAGTTGATTGGCCCACACCCGAGACAGCTTTCCTTAGAGCCTAGTCTCACTTGGTGTTGGACCAGATGACGCCAAAAGGCGCACAACTCAAAGACAATGCACCATCAGAGTATGAGAGCTCGGGGTAAGAATTTACACCATTGGAACCTCATTTGCCAGTAGCAAAATATGATAATTGGTTTTTTTACCCTTTTATCTGGCAACAAAACTGACACCTTTTTTATGAGGAGTCATGTTTGCATAGACCACAATACCTGCGGTCGAAATGCAAACAAAAAACATAACTCTGATAATGTATGCACTGTCCTTGAAGTTGATTGGCCCACACCCGAGACAGCTTTCCTTAGAGCCTAGTCTCACGTGGTGTTGGACCAGATGACGCCAAAAGGCGCACAACTCAAAGACAATGCACCATCAGAGTATGAGAGCTCGGGGTAAGAATTTACACCATTGGAACCTCATTTGCCAGTAGCAAAATATGATCCTTGTTTTTTTACCCTTTTATCTGGCAACAAAACTGACACCTTTTTTGTACAAGGAGTCATGTTTGCATTGACCACAATACCTGCGGTCGGAATGCAAACAAAAACACAACTCTGATAATGTATGCACTGTCCTTGAAGTTGATTGGTCCACACCCGAGACAGCTTTCCTTAGAGCCTAGTCTCACATGGTGTTGGCGTATTGTGGTCTATGCAAACATGACTCCTTGTAAAAAAGGTGTCAGTTTTGTTTGCCAGATAAAAGGGTTAAAAAACAATTATCAAGATTAGCAAAGTATAATAACAGGGTTGCTACCCTTTTTTCTGGCAACTCGAATTGAAACTTTTTTAAAATCCTTTATATTAAGTTCACTTGCGTGCTTGCTTGCTTAGGACCGTGCAAATCTTTCGGTCGTTTTTTAACCCACTTCCCGTGATCCAATCGAGCTGACATTTTGCACACAGACTCGTTGTGCGTGACAATTTATTTTCGTGAAAAAAATGTCCTAAATTTTCCACTTTTAGGAAAAATGTTCTTTCATATTTCATTTAAAATACCAATGTGATAAAAAATGAAACTCTTACTCAAGAAAAACAGAAATGAATAATAAAATAAAACCGATGCCACGCAAATAAAGGATTTATAGTGAAAAACTTTGTTTTTACGGGTTAATTTTTTTATACCGTGCACCAGCCGTGTGCGGCCATTACGTCCAAATGCCCACCGCTGAATCAGAATATCAGAATCAGTATTTATACTGGAGAAATCCGATGAGCGCTAAAGCGCTTTTGTCATAGATATCAATTAGGGGCACGGGGTAAGAACGCTACAACAACAAACACAACAACACAAACAAGATAGTGGTGCAAAGTACAAGAAAGGTAAACAAATCACCCAAACACCAATGGAACCTCCTTTGCTAGGAGCAAAATATGATAATTGGTTTTTTTACCCTTTTATCTGGCAACAAAACTGACACCTTTTTTTATGAGGAGTCATGTTTGCATTGACCACAATACCTGCGGTCGAAATGCGAACAAAAAACATAACTCTGATAATGTATGCACTGTCCTTGAAGTTGATTGGCCCACACCCGAGACAGCTTTCCTTAGAGCCTAGTCTCACTTGGTGTTGGACCAGATGACGCCAAAAGGCGCACAACTCAAAGACAATGCACCATCAGAGTATGAGAGCTCGGGGTAAGAATTTACACCATTGGAACCTCATTTGCCAGTAGCAAAATATGATAATTGGTTTTTTTACCCTTTTATCTGGCAACAAAACTGACACCTTTTTTATGAAGAGTCATGTTTGCATAGACCACAATACCTGCGGTCGAAATGCAAACAAAAAACATAACTCTGATAATGTATGCACTGTCCTTGAAGTTGATTGGCCCACACCCGAGACAGCTTTCCTTAGAGCCTAGTCTCACGTGGTGTTGGACCAGATGACGCCAAAAGGCGCACAACTCAAAGACAATGCACCATCAGAGTATGAGAGCTCGGGGTAAGAATTTACACCATTGGAACCTCATTTGCCAGTAGCAAAATATGATCCTTGTTTTTTTACCCTTTTATCTGGCAACAAAACTGACACCTTTTTTGTACAAGGAGTCATGTTTGCATTGACCACAATACCTGCGGTCGGAATGCAAACAAAAACACAACTCTGATAATGTATGCACTGTCCTTGAAGTTGATTGGTCCACACCCGAGACAGCTTTCCTTAGAGCCTAGTCTCACATGGTGTTGGACCAGCGTATATGACACTAAACGATCCACTAAACCTACCAGGCAAAGCCCACATATTTCACTTATTTTTCAGGAGTGACCTGGCCCCAAATGATAGCAGCTCAACAAAGTGACCCCATCGATTGGACAGTCATCGCAGCAAAAATAATCGGAACAATCTCAATGCACGCTGACTCTAAATGTGCAGGGGAAAAACCGGAGGAACCGGAGAAAAGAATCCACGTAAGTGTGAACACTTCTTATCACGCAAAATAAATCCACGTGAACTCTCACCTCGATGATCGATTCCGCTTACATCTCTACAGGGACATGATCTAGCCCACGACCTCCTGTAGACCAGGCGAGGTAGTTAACATCTCTACAGGGACATGATCTAACCCACGACATCCTGTATACCAGGCGAGGTAGTCAACATCTCTACAGGGACATGATCTAACCCGCGACATCCTGTAGACCAGGCGAGGAAGTTAACATCTCTACAGGGACATGATTTAACCCACGACCTCCTGTAGACCAGGCGAGGTAGTCAACATCTCTACAGGGACATGATCTAACCCGCGACATCCTGTAGACCAGGCGAGGAAGTTAACATCTCTACAGGGACATGATTTAACCCACGACCTCCTGTAGACCAGGCGAGGTAGTTAACATCTCTACAGGGACATGATCTAACCCACGACCTCCTGAAAACCAGGCGAGGTAGTCACCATCTCCACAGGGACATGATCTAACCCACGACCTCCTGTAGACCAGGCGAGGTAGTCAACATCTCCACAGGGACATGATTTAACCCACGACCTCCTGTAGACCAGGCGAGGTAGTCAACATCTCCACAGGGACATGATCTAACCCACGATAATGACAACAAAAATGTTCACGAATTGAATCACGAACCCGTCAATCACAATAATCGATCAAATCTTGAAGGTTGGGAAGGGTGCGGAGGGGGGTGACAATGTTAGCAAGAGGAACTTGGACACAGCGATACATACCAAGGCGTTGTAGCCACTGATCAACCCGCGGGTAATTTGTCATGCCTCTAAGGATGGACAGGAGTTGTTCACACTTCTGATCACCGCCGTCAAGAACCAAATCGAGGAGCGAGCCCGCACATTTTAAAGCGCCAGGCGTTCCCTTGATTCTCTCAAACTCGATGGTTGTTATGAGCCCATTGTGGTGCATTTTATCCAGCAGAGAGTCTGGGTCCTTGCTGATCCACTCCTTGAGACGAGGCTTCTTCTTCCGAATGTGCCTCAGAGATGTCCCCTCAACGGCCACGATGGACAGCTGGTCTGTAGGAGCAACAGGACCGCAGTATGTAGATTACAACACGATTATAGGACGATGTCATCACTTATGCTCTTAGGCTTTTTCAGTAAAGTCACGTCGTAATAATAGAAATAAAATGGTAAATCACGACGTTTCGGAGGCAACACAAGTCTCCGTCATCAGGTGGGACGGTCACAGCTAGATTTACTGCATCAAGTGAGTGCGTGGAGATGAGTAGAGTGAGATGGGAAGGAGAGGTAGGAGAGTATTTGGAGGGGAGTAAGCCCCTTTCCCCCTTACCTGGTATTTAAGGGCTGGTCTTTTGGAATTTTACTTCTATTAATTTTATTTCTTACCTAAGTGACTTTACCGAAAAAGCCTAAGAGTATGAATCCTTGCAGTCACGAAAGCTTCAAATCTAGAATTATGTCATCACTTCTTCTTCCGATTCATGTGTCCGATGACGTGCAATGTGTCCGTCATCGGAACGAAACCGGAAGAAACTTAAACTAAAATAACTTCAATTTCGATGTAAAGCTTTCGTGACTGCAGGGATTCATCTTCTTGGTTCTTTCGGTAAAGTCACGTAGAAGGGAAGTAATAAAATAATAAAAATAATAATAAAACATAATAAAATAATTCTCACGACGTTTCGGCCACAACGCAAGCAGCCGTCCTCAGGTGAAGAAACAGGTCTGTCGGGAAGACAGAGTCTGAATGACACACCCCAGGCTTGGAGCGTCTATTTAAGCTTCAAGAGAATAAAGTTTAGCTGGAAGCATATTATATATTTTGCGACATAGAATTGTAATGTATTACTTACTGTTAGTAGATCGGCTTATTGGATAGTATATTTAGCATACTGATGATACTATGTAGTTTATACTTTAGTTGTTTGCGTGGTGGTTTAGTTACTGCAGCTACATACTATTAACATTCCTTCACTTCATTAATGCTACCCCTATCCCCCTCCCTTTGATGCTGCTAATCCTGCATAATGCACAGGCATAATGACTTTAAACCCTCCTACCACCTCCTACGCATTTCACAAGTAGTACTAATCCCATATCTGCATTTCCCATAAATATGCTAAATTCCTATTGATATGCAAATTCTTTTGTCAAGGCGCCCTTCCCTCTCCAACCCAGCTTAAATAGACGCTCCAAGCCTGGGGTGTGTCATTCAGACTCTGTCTTCTCAACAGACCTGTTTCTTCACCTGAGGACGGCTGCTTGCGTTGTGGCCGAAACGTCGTGAGAATTATTTTTTAACTTTTATTTTTAATTATTTTATTATTTCCCTTCTACGTGACTTTACCGAAAGAACCAAGAAGATAATCTCAGCTTGTTACCTGTATAAAAGACACCTGTTCACAGAAGCAATCAATCAATCAGATTCCAAACTCTCCACCATGGCCAAGACCAAAGAGCTCTCCACGGATGTCAGGGACAAGATTGTAGACCTACACAAGGCTGGATTTTTTTATTGTTATTCTGTCTCTCACTGTTCATATTCTTAGGTTTTTTCGGTAAAGTCACGTAGGTAAAAAATTAAAATTAATGAAAGTAAAATAAAATTAAATAAAAAATATTTTTTTCTTTTATTTTACTTTTACCGAAAAAACCTAAGAACATGAATCCTTGCAGTCACGAAAGCTTCAAATCTAGAATTCTCACTGTTCAAATTAAACCTACCATTAAAATGATAGACTGATCATTTCTCTGTCAGTGGGCAAACGTACAACATCAGCAGGGGATTAAATACGTTTCTTTCCCTCCCGTAACTTCTTACCAAGCTCGTTGAAAAACCCCTCCATGTGCTGGTACTTGTCTTTCACGGCGTAAAGGGTGTCCAGGAACTTCTGGCATGCCATCTCTCCAGCGGCGAGGAAGATCTCGATCAGAAAGGTGACGGATTCTTCACCGCTCGCGATCAGTTTAGCGTCGCTGTAGTCTCCCCGCGAGATGAGGCCCCTGCTGTCGAGCTCATCCAGGAGACACGCGGCGTTCCTTCCGACATCTTTACTGAGCTGGCGCCGTTTCTCCTCGAGCAGCTGCCGTCGATTGCCATAGATCTTGGTCTGTCACGGCAAGACGAACGGTCACTCGTGGAGTCACCGAAACCGGGATGAACACCGTACGGAGCACAACCGTGCCAATCTGTGGGTCTCTGTGGGTCTCTGTGGGTCTCTAGGGGTCTCTGGGGGTCTATGTGGGTCTCTGTGGGTCTCTGGGGGTCTATGTGGGTTTCTGTGGGTCTCTGTGGGTCTCTGGGGGTCTATGTGAGTCTTTGTGGGTCTCTGGGGGTCTATGTGGTCTCTGTGGGTCTCTGAGGGTCTCTGTGGGTCTCTGTGGGTCTCTGGGGGTCTGTGGGGGTCTCTGGGGGTCTATGTGGATCTCTGGGGGTCTATGTGGGTCTCTGTGTGTCTCTGGGGGTCTATGTGGGTCTCTGTGGGTCTCTGGGGGTCTCTGGGGGTCTCTGGGGGTCTCTGGGGGTCTCTGGGGGTCTCTGGGGGTCTCTGTGGGTCTATGTGGGTCTCTGGGGGTCTATGTGGGTCTCTGGGGGTCTCTGTGCGTCTATGTGGGTCTCTGGGGGTCTCTGGGGGTCTCTGTGGTCTCTGGGGGTCTCTGGGGGTCTATGTGGGTCTCTGGGGGTCTATGTGGGTCTCTGTGGGTCTCTGTGGGTCTCTGGGGGTCTATGTGGGTCTCTGTGGGTCTCTGTGGGTCTCTGTGGGTCTCTGGGGGTCTCTGGGGGTCTCTGAGGGTCTCTGAGGGTCTCTATGGGTCTCTGGGGGTCTCTGGGGGTCTATGTGGGTTTCTGTGGGTCTCTGTGGGTCTCTGGGGGTCTATGTGGGTCTCTGTGGGTCTCTGGGGGTCTCTGGGGGTCTCTGGGGGTCTCTGTGGGTCTATGTGGGTCTCTGTGGGTCTATGTGGGTCTCTGGGGGTCTATGTGGGTCTCTGGGGGTCTCTGGGGGTCTATGTGGGTTTCTGTGGGTCTTTGTGGTCTCTGGGGGTCTCTGTGGGTCTCTGGGGGTCTATGTGGGTTTCTGTGTGTCTCTGTGGGTCTCTGGGGGTCTATGTGGGTCTCTGTGGGTCTCTGGGGGTCTCTGGGGGTCTCTGGGGGTCTCTGTGGGTCTATGTGGGTCTCTGTGGGTCTATGTGGGTCTCTGGGGGTCTATGTGGGTCTCTGGGGGTCTATGTGGGTCTCTGGGGGTCTATGTGGGTCTCTGTGGGTCTCTGGGGGTCTCTGGGGGTCTCTGGGGGTCTCTGTGGTCTCTGGGGGTCTCTGGGGGTCTATGTGGGTCTCTGGGGGTCTATGTGGGTCTCTGGGGGTCTATGTGGGTCTCTGTGGGTCTCTGGGGGTCTCTGTGGGTCTCTGGGGGTCTATGTGGGTCTCTGGGGGTCTCTGGGGGTCTATGTGGGTCTATGTGGGTCTCTGTGGGTCTCTGTGGGTCTCTGTGGGTCTCTGGGGGTCTCTGTGGGTCTCTGGGGGTCTATGTGGGTTTCTGTGGGTCTCTGTGGGTCTATGTGGGTCTCTGGGGGTCTATGTGGGTCTCTGGGGGTCTATGTGGGTCTCTGGGGGTCTATGTGGGTCTCTGTGGGTCTCTGGGGGTCTCTGGGGGTCTCTGGGGGTCTCTGTGGTCTCTGGGGGTCTCTGGGGGTCTATGTGGGTCTCTGGGGGTCTATGTGGGACTCTGGGGGTCTATGTGGGTCTCTGTGGGTCTCTGGGGGTCTCTGTGGGTCTCTGGAGGTCTATGTGGGTCTCTGGGGGTCTCTGGGGGTCTATGTGGGTCTATGTGGGTCTCTGTGGGTCTCTGGGAGTCTATGTGGGTCTCTGGGGGTCTCTGGGGGTCTATGTGGGTCTCTGTGGGTCTCTGGGGTCTATGTGAGTTTCTGTGGGTCTCTGGGGGTCTATGTGGGTCTCTGGGGGTCTCTGTGGGTCTCTGTGGGTCTCTGGGGGTCTCTGGGGGTCGCTGTGGTCTCTAGGGGTCTTTGTGGGTCTCTGTGGGTCTCTGGGGGTCTATGTGGGTCTCTGGGGGTCTCTGTGGGTCTCTGTGGGTCTCTGGGGGTCTCTGGGGGTCTCTGTGGTCTCTGGGGGTCTCTGGGGGTCTATGTGGGTCTCTGGGGGTCTATGTGGGTCTCTGTGGGTCTCTGGGGGTCTCTGGGGGTCTCTGGGGGTCTCTGGGGGTCTATGTGGGTTTCTGTGGGTCTTTGTGGTCTCTGGGGGTCTCTGGGGGTCTCTGTGGGTCTCTGGGGGTCTATGTGGGTTTCTGTGGGTCTCTGTGGGTCTCTGGGGGTCTATGTGGGTCTCTGTGGGTCTCTGGGGGTCTCTGGGGGTCTCTGGGGGTCTCTGTGGGTCTATGTGGGTCTCTGTGGGTCTATGTGGGTCTCTGGGGGTCTATGTGGGTCTCTGGGGGTCTATGTGGGTCTCTGGGGGTCTCTGGGGGTCTATGTGGGTCTCTGGGGGTCTATGTGGGTCTCTGGGGGTCTATGTGGGTCTCTGTGGGTCTCTGGGGGTCTCTGTGGGTCTCTGGGGGTCTATGTGGGTCTCTGGGGGTCTCTGGGGGTCTATGTGGGTCTATGTGGGCCTCTGTGGGTCTCTGTGGGTCTCTGTGGGTCTCTGGGGGTCTCTGTGGGTCTCTGGGGGTCTATGTGGGTTTCTGTGGGTCTCTGTGGGTCTATGTGGGTCTCTGGGGGTCTATGTGGGTCTCTGGGGGTCTATGTGGGTCTCTGGGGGTCTATGTCGGTCTCTGTGGGTCTCTGGGGGTCTCTGGGGGTCTCTGGGGGTCTCTGTGGTCTCTGGGGGTCTCTGGGGGTCTATGTGGGTCTATGGGGGTCTATGTGGGTCTCTGGGGGTCTATGTGGGTCTCTGTGGGTCTCTGGGGGTCTCTGTGGGTCTCTGGAGGTCTATGTGGGTCTCTGGGGGTCTCTGGGGGTCTATGTGGGTCTATGTGGGTCTCTGTGGGTCTCTGGGAGTCTATGTGGGTCTCTGGGGGTCTCTGGGGGTCTATGTGGGTCTCTGTGGGTCTCTGGGGTCTATGTGAGTCTCTGTGGGTCTCTGGGGGTCTCTGTGGGTCGCTGTGGTCTCTAGGGGTCTTTGTGGGTCTCTGTGGGTCTCTGGGGGTCTATGTGGGTCTCTGGGGGTCTCTGTGGGTCTCTGTGGGTCTCTGTGGGTCTCTGTGGGTCTATGTGGGTCTCTGGGGGTCTCTGGGGGTCTCTGGGGGTCTATGTGGGTCTCTGTGGGTCTATGTGGGTCTCTGGGGGTCTCTGGGGGTCTATGGATGTCTCTATAAATGTTTCTATGGGTGTCACTAGGGGTGTCTGTGTGTCTCTATGGGTGTGTCTGTGTGTCTCCGTGTGTGTGTGCTGAACTTCTTTCACACCATACATAGCCAACCCTGCCAATCGGAGGTGCGGGATAGCGACTTACTTGACTGCTATCATTCGAGAGTGACATGTACACCTTTCCATATTCTGTACGGGTTCCTGCAAGGCACAGTTTTAAGTGTTTAGATTTATTTTTTAATATTTCTTTTACCAGCTGTGTAAGCCCCCCCCCCCCCCCCCCCCCCCCCCCCCCCCCCCCCCACTGAGTTGTGGAGTTGTTTTTCTTTCCAGGAGCGACCCCTGGCCATCACATGGGTGAGGAATCACAACGCGGTGGGCGGGGAATGACTCCTCAGGAGATGTGGGCGTTCAATAACAACTCCGCACCGCTGTTATCGCTTCAGCACTCTGGTTTAAGCGCGAGCTGCAGACACTTTTTCACTTTTTCCCCGACCCTGTCAAGTTCAAGTTCATGTACTAGGTGTAGCCCTGTGAGCCATTCGGCTCTTGAATCGGGTGCAACCGCAACAAACAAAAAACAAAAACATGAACAAGAAAACATCTCGTAGTGACTTTGTGACTTTGTGCAAACAGAAAATCCAAGAAAAGACAGCAAAATATTGCAGAAAAAGCACCGTACACCAACGCTGTGTGCAAAAATCCCAGTGGGATGCAAGTCAAACAACAACAACCACAAGACAACTTAGATTAAGGCCATCAGTCTAACTCTGTACTACAACAAACAAACATGGCCAAACCAAAAAACTTTTCGAAAATCACCAAAATTAAGCCATGAAAGCAATGAAACAGTGCAGGTCATAGGAACTGTGACGGAATTTTCACAATAAACGACGTAAACAACATGTACTACCAAACTCTGCAGCCACAGCTGGCTGCATCAGTCACTCCATAAGTCACTGTCAAGTACGTATTCATAGCAGCAGCAGCAGTAAAAATGCAAAATAGCGAGTTGAAAGTGGGATTATGGTGAGACTTGAGGGCAAAGCGGACAGCCAGGGGCAGTCAGTGTCAAAGCGATGAAAAATAAGAAAGGTCAAATATATAGTAGTAAATATAGTAGTTGCTCAACGCAAGCTATAAATGCCTTGATAGTGCATTGTCTTTGTGCTGTTCGCCTTTTGGCGGTGTTCTCTTGTCTGACACTTGTAGTGAGACTAGGCCATAAAGAAGATATACATATGTTAGTGAGACATTATGCCTGTTAGTGTAAATGTCGTTACATTAAGAGGCTAAATGTCTCACTAACATAGCTGCTGCTCCCTTTTCCTCGATGCGGCGGTGGCGCTCGTTGTTTAATCGGCTGAATGTCTCTCATCAACACAGCCGCTGCTGCGGGAGCCGTCTCACATTGACATGCTCATCTCTAACCTCTAGCAATACAATGGCGGCCTCTTCAGCGCCGTAGACGTGGGGTTACATTAACAGATTGACTTGCTAATCTCTAGCAATACAATGGCCGCCTCTTCAGCAACGTAGTCGTGATGTATATGAGGCTCTCCGATCTTACATTTACTTGCAAATTCCATCTGTAGCCTCGCCCACTTACCCTTGGGTTGCACCCGTCTCAAACCGATATAAACTCTGGCTGCAGTCGCTCTCTCGCTGTGTTAATTCCTGCCTCAGAAGTCCGCCTGCTGTATGTTTTTCACCTGAAGACGATTGCTTGCGTTGCTATCGAAATGTCGTGATTTTTTATTATTTTTAATCTTCTGCGGTCACGAAACCTTTAAGTCAACAACTCCTATGTTTCATCAACCCCTACGTATTCATGAAAATCGCAGATTGTTTAACGATTGAGACGCAACAGGGGTGCAAGGCTGCAGTGAAAGGATAAGAACCCACACATTTAGTCACTCGCAAATGTGCAAAACTCTGGACATCCGGGACCCGTGCACAGCGAGGCTTTGCTGTACACAGCAGTCAGTAAGCGGTGGCCCTTCGATTCAACTCAAGATGGAGGAGGGTTGGTGCCTTGAACGAACTCCTTTGGAGGTTCAAACCGCGTGCTGAAAGATTACACTGGTCAACACGCTTTTTCTGGCATAAGGTATTCCAACGGTTTTAAGGTAATTTTGGAGTGCTGATTCCAAATCTGGCATCAGTTTTTGTCTATCACATCAGGTCAATAAAAGCTGCAGAAGAAAAATATTAAATAAATGTGGATATCTACATAAAATATTATTATAAACACACTTTTCTAAAAATACAGCACCATATTTTAACACTAAAGCAAGTCACTGACTCGCAACAACTTACAAGCATAAGTGACAGAGTTAATTTCGGGTAAAATCAATGAAAATGGGGTATGCCGATAGCATAAAAATGAGATGTGATAGAGCAAATCTGAGATCAGATTTGGAATCAGCACCCTGAAATTAGTCTAGAACAGCTGCAAAAGTCCAGGCCAGAAAAACATGTTTTTTTTGTTGACCAGTGTGATCTTCACCGATGCGATTTGGCGATGATGCAGTTGGTCATTACCTGAATGAGCAGATGCCATCTTGCGCCAGACGTAGAAACTCAAGATGGCCAACGTCATTATGAGTAGTAGATTTGCAGTTATGATTAAAATCAAAATTGGAGTCGTTTGCACGCCTGTAAAGAGACAGTGAATGTTATGCTTGTTAATGTCGTTTTGTTTCAGCGGCTTCGATGAACACGTGCTAAAAATATAAAAAGTAGATATCATCAAACTTTCACTAATCGGCTCCTCGATAGTGCGGTGAAGTATCATTGAACAAGCCCCATCATTGACATCGCAGGGTGAAGGTTTTATTACTGCCCCTTTGTTACCGCCCCATTTCCAAAGCTTGGGAATTGATGATGCAACTTGAACTCGTCTGCCCCGTGACCTCCTCCTGCCAGCGGACGTTCGACACTTCACGTGGTAGCCTCAAGGTGCACATGGCCTGGCACAAGCGTTGTGGTGATGTCACCGCCACTTAGTGGCGGTTGTTGTTGTTGTTTATCTTTCTTTTACTTTGTGTTTGTTGTTGTAACGTTCTGACCCCGTGCGCCAACTGGACATCTGTAACAAGTAAACCCGTAAAAACAAAGTTTTTCACTATAAATCCTTTATATGCGTAGCGGCGAACTTAATATAAAGGATTTAAAAATATATTTGCCTGTGGAGGACGCGGGGATCGATCCCGCGACCTTTGGCATGGGAAGCGAGGGCGCTACCAACTGCACTACTCCGCCACGGCCTGTGGAGGGGTTACGCTCTGGGCTCTTACACTCTGACGTTCAGCCAAAGCCATGAATGCGTTCTATTTGAATATATGTAAAATAAATTTTTTTCTGCCTAAAAAGTGTACAATTTTGGAAATTTTTTTCACGAACAATAATTGTCTGGCACAACGAGTCTGTGTGGAAAATGTCAGCTCGATTGGATCACGGGAAGTGGGTTAAAAAAACGACCGAAAGATTTGCACGGTCCTAAGCAAGCAAGCACGCGAACTTAATATAAAGGATTTTAAAAAAGAGCTCTATAGCTCATTGAATTCCTCCTGTAAGTATAAATACAGGTCCTGATATTCTGATTCAGGAGTGGACTGAATCGTATCGGGTTGTCACGCCAACAATCGTATTGGAAAGTGCCGTGTGGTGGAAACTTTTGTCGATGGAAATCGATTTTTTTTTTAAATCATAATTAAAATTGAACCAGAATCGACATTTGTTCCCATGAGTCTTTGAATCGATAACAAAATCTTGTAAACGATTATTTTAAAAAATCTGGTTTAACACAGTAGTAGTAGGGCTTTCTCTGCCAATATTACAAGACGTTTACTTTTGAGGTCAGGTCGCGCAGATATAAATGTGTGCCGTTAAACCCGGCCACCACCACCACCACCCGGACACAGCCACTTGGCATGGCTAGTGTCACGTAAACACAAAACGTTTACGATCAGTTCACGACTTCAGCACTTAACCGGGTGTATGCTGCTGTGGAGTTTACCCTCCAACACACAATTGGTTAGGTGCTGAACTAGTTGTAGCACCGTAGATGTGCTGCACTTACCTGGAATGGTGGACGGGGCCCATCAGGGGCTCAGGATCCCAGACAGTAACACCGAGTGCTCTGGGACTGCGCTGCCGTGCGAGGTGTTTTAATAAAAAGTGTTGCCTTCAAGAACCGTCTGCAACGACTCCTGAATCCACAACACTTCACGTGGATTCTTTTCTCCGGTTCCTCCGGTTTTTTCCCCTGCACATGTAGAGTCAACGTGCATTGAGATTGTTCCGATTATTTTTGCTGCGATGACTGTCCAATCGATGGGGTCACTTTGTTGAGCTGCTATCATTTGGGGCCAGGTCGCTCCTGAAAAATAAGTGAAATATGTGGGCTTTGCCTGGTAGGATTAGTGGATCGTTTAGTGTCATATACGCTGGTCCAACACCAAGTGAGACTAGGCTCTAAGGAAAGCTGTCTCGGGTGTGTGCCAATCAATTTCCAGGACAGTGCATACATTATCAGAGTTGTGTTTTTTGTTTGCATTTCGACCGCAGGTATTGTGGTCTATGCAAACATGACTCCTTGTACAAAAAAGGTGTCAGTTTTGTTGCCAGATAGAAGGGTAAAAAAACAAGGATCATATTTTGCTACTGGCAAATGAGGTTCCAATGGTGTAAATGCTTCACCCCGAGCTCTCATACTCTGATGGTGCATTGTCTTTGAGTTGTGCGCCTTTTGGCGTCATCTGGTCCAACACCATGTGAGACTAGGCTCTAAGAAAAGCTGTCTCGGGTGTGGACCAATCAACTTCAAGGACAGTGCACATACATTATCAGAGTTGTGTTTCTTGTTTGCATTACGACTGCAGGTATTGTGGTCTATGCAAACATGACTCCTCGTAAAGAAAAGGTGTCAGTTTTGTTGCCAGATAGAAGGGTAAAAAACCAATTATCGATTATCATTGGAGACTTGTTCGTTTACGTGACACTCACCCCTTACTCATCGTCCGTGTGTCGGGCGATGGCGGGTTTAATGACAGAACGTTTATATCCACGCGCTCTAACTACCCCCCCCAATCACCACGCCTCTATTATGGACACATCAAGCTGCGCTGAATTTTAAAGAATTTGGCTCCAATGCTTTTGTTAAGTCTTTCTGCTCTTGCAGCCAAACCCGTTTGTTACCCGAGTCCACCAGCTCGCACGCCCCCGATTGCGGAGACCGATAGAATCCATCCCTGCATTGGCACGCGGTGTCACGCTTGGCAGTGCACGGAGCCACCAATTCCTCCTCTGTGGGAGACACACACACACAGACACACACACACAGACACACACATACAGACACACACACAGACACACACACAGACACACACACACACATACACACACACACACATACACACACACATACACACACACACACACACAAACACACACACACAGACACACACACAGACACACACACAGACACACACACAGCCACACACACAGACACACACACACACAGACACACACACACAGACACACACACAGACACACACACACAGACACACACACAGACACATACACACACACAGACCCACACACAGACACACACACACACATACACACAGACCCACACACACAGACACACACACACACACACAGACACACACACACACACACAGACAGACACACACACAGACACACACACACATTGCCAACGTGATCGATAAGACAGCAGTAACCCAAACCTGTCAACCCCTTATCAGTGCCCTACCTTATTGCAGACCCATTTTGGCGTCATCTGGTCCAACACCATGTGAGACTAGGCTCTAAGGAAAGCTGTCTCGAGTGTGGACCAATCAACTTCAAGGACCATGTGGGACTAGGCTCTAAGGAAAGCTGTCTCGAGTGTGGACCAATCAACTTCAAGGACAGTGCATACATTATCAGAGCTGTGTTTTTGTTTGCAAACCTGTCAACCCCTTATCAGTGCCCTACCTTATTACAGACCAAGTCAGCCCTTATTAATCAAACCCCGTGCCCTTAGAAATATCAACGTTTATCCTACAAAGTCCCGTCACAAGGGAGAAACACAAACAAATCGACACACAAATGTTGCCCGTATTGAAACGGCTGTACGCCGTATGGACCTGCAAACTCAATTTGCCTGCACAAGAATATTTGGTAGACCGTGTGGACTGACACGGTATGCTATGCCTGTTTGTTGTTGTTGCATTTTTATAACCGAGTGATTCAATTATCGCAGCCGAACTCTTGGAAGCCACGTTTACATGAAGGGGGATAGTCGTGAAACGCCCCTACGGCCAACAGAGAGCCTCCTCTGATGGAGACATATAAGAATCGGTTGTTTTTACCCTTCCCAGCTATAAAACAGGAGTCGTGTTAAGTTACCGCATTAACCACAAACAGTACTTGTGGCACATCATGAAAAACAAACGTCCTCTGATAATAATAATATTACAAGCATTGTCTTTGAAACTGATTGGCCTACACCAGAGATGGCAGCCTTCTCTATGGCCTAGTCTCACCACCAGTGAGAATCACTGATTCTAAATGTGGATGGGAAAAACCTGGAGGACCCAGGGAATAAATCCATGCGACCACCCACAGGGTCGGGATCGAACCCACGACCTCCTGCACACCTGGCGAGGGAGTCAACATCTCCTAGCCACCGTGATGATGATGATGAGAGAGAAAGAGACACGCAAACTCCAAATAAACAGCAGCAGCAGGCATCATCAGGGTCGGGGTCTAACCCACGACCTCCTGCACACCGTGCGAGTGAGTCAACATCTGCTAGCCACCGTGATGATGATGAGAGAGAGAGATACACAATCTCCTCAAATATACAGCAGCAGGCATCGTCAGGGTCGGGATCGAACCAACACCCTCCTGTACACCAGGCGAGGTAGTCAACATCTCCTAGCCGCCGTGATGTTGATGAGAGAGAGACACCGCAAACTCTCAAAAATACAGCAGCAGCAGCAGGCATCGTCAGGGTCGGGATCGAACCCACGACCTCCTGTACACCAGGCGAGCGAGTCAACATCTCCTGGTAACCGCAGCACGTGGCCATCTGTGACACTGTGGGTGACACGCTGTCGCGTCTGGGATGAGTGGAGCTGGTTGAGGTTACATGAGGTAACCGGGGGGAGGGGGTGGGTGTAAGGGGGGGGAGCCCCCCACCCAACAACCCCCACCACCTTCTGGAAGAAACGGCGCCACTGAGTCTGGCCTGAATTGGGGGCAGGATACAAATTGGCCAGTCAGGCCAGGCCACGTGACATGGGGTAAGGGGACAGTCAGCAAGGCTATGCCGTGTTTTTTGGCCAGGTGTTGCCAACAAAACAAACTCAGGGTTAATACAGTATGGTGTAGTATTGTATAGTGTAGTGCCTACTAGTGTATACTGTATAGTAGTGCATAGTGTAGGGTATAGTAGTGTATAGTGTAGTGTATAGTAGTGTAGTGTATAGTAGTGTATAGTGCAGTGTATAGTGTAGTGTATAGTGCAGTGTATAGTGTAGTGTATAGTGTAGTGTATAGTGTAGTGTATAGTGTAGTGTATAGTGTAGTGTAGTGTATAGTGTAGTGTATAGTATAGTGTATAGTGTAGTGTATAGTGTGTAGTGTATAGTGTGTAGTGTATAATGTAGTGTATAGTGTAGTGTATAGTAGTGTAGTGTATAGTAGTGTAGTGTATAGTAGTGTAGTGTATAGTAGTGTAGTGTATAGTGTAGTGTATAGAGTAGTGTATAGTGCAGTGTATAGTGTAGTGTATAGTGTAGTGTGTAGTGCAGTGTATAGTAGTGTAGTATATAGTGTAGTGTATAGTAGTGTAGTGTATAGTAGTCTCGTGTACAGTAGTGTAGTGTACAGTGTAGTGTATAGTAGTGTAGTATATAGTGTATAGTGTAGTGTATAGTAGTTTAGTGTATAGTGTAGTGTATAGTGTAGTGTATAGTAATGCAGTGTATAGTAGTGTAGTGTATAGTAGTCTCGTGTACAGTAGTGTAGTGTATAGTGTAGTGTATAGTGTAGTGTATAGTGTGTAGTGTATAGTGGTGTATAGTGTAGTGTATAGTGTAGTGTATAGTAGTGTAGTGTATAGTAGTGTAGTGTATAGTAGTGTAGTGTATAGTAGTCTCGTGTACAGTAGTGTAGTGTACAGTGTAGTGTATAGTAGTGTAGTATATAGTGTATAGTGTAGTGTATAGTAGTTTAGTGTATAGTGTAGTGTATAGTGTAGTGTATAGTAATGCAGTGTATAGTAGTGTAGTGTATAGTAGTCTCGTGTACAGTAGTGTAGTGTATAGTGTAGTGTATAGTGTAGTGTATAGTGTATAGTGTAGTGTATAGTGTAGTGTATAGTATAGTGTATAGTGTAGTGTATAGTGTAGTGTATAGTGTAGTGTATAGTAGTGTAGTGTATAGTAGTGTAGTGTATAGTAGTGTAGTGTATAGTGTAGTGTATAGAGTAGTGTATAGTGCAGTGTATAGTGTAGTGTATAGTGTAGTGTGTAGTGCAGTGTATAGTAGTGTAGTGTAGTATATAGTGTAGTGTATAGTAGTGTAGTGTATAGTAGTCTCGTGTACAGTAGTGTAGTGTACAGTGTAGTGTATAGTAGTGTAGTATATAGTGTATAGTGTAGTGTATAGTAGTTTAGTGTATAGTGTAGTGTATAGTGTAGTGTATAGTAATGCAGTGTATAGTAGTGTAGTGTATAGTAGTCTCGTGTACAGTAGTGTAGTGTATAGTGTAGTGTATAGTAGTGTAGTGTATAGTGTAGTGTGTAGTGTAGTGTATAGTGTAGTGTATAGTGTAGTGTATAGTAGTCTCATGTACAGTAGTGTAGTGTATAGCACAGCATAACAAATTTTCGAGTTTGCGCCTATTGAGTGGATACATCAAGAACAAAGTTGTAAATGCAAACCAAGACACTACAACTGTTGAGGCTGCACACGACCTTGACCACAGCACCCTGAACAATTTTTCGATTTAAAGCTTTCGTGACTGCAGGGATTCATCTTCTTGGTTCTTTCGGTAAAGTCATCACGTAGAAGGGAAATAATAAAATAATAAAAAATTTACATAAAATAAATAAAAAAATTTATTATTATAATAAAACAAAAAATAAATACAATTCTTTTATTATGTTTTATTTATATTATTTTTAAAGTCACGTAGAATGGAAATAATAAAATAATCAAATAACAAAACATAATAAAATACAATTCTCACGACGTCTCGGCCACAACGCAAGCAGCCGTCCTCAGGTGAAGAACAGGTCTGTCGGAAAGACAGCGTCTGAATGAAACACCACCAAGCTTGACAGCGTATATACTTAAACATATACTTAAATATACGCTGCCAAGCTTGGTGGTGTTCAGAAGAACAGGTCTGTCAGAAAGACAGCGTCTGAATGAGCACCACCAAGCTTGGCAGCGTATATACTTAAACATATACTTAAATATACGCTGCCAAGCTTGTTGGTGTTCAGAAGAACAGGTCTGTCGGAAAGACAGCGTCTGAATGAGCACCACCAAGCTTGGCAGCGTATATACGTAAACATATACTTAAATATACGCTGCCAAGCTTGGTGGTGTTCAGAAGAACAGGTCTGTCGGAAAGACAGCGTCTGAATGAGCACCACCAAGCTTGGCAGCGTATATACGTAAACATATACTTAAATATACGCTGCCAAGCTTGGTGGTGTTCAGAAGAACAGGTCTGTCGGAAAGACAGCGTCTGAATGAGCACCACCAAGCTTGCGTTGTGGCCGAAACGTCGTGAGAATTGTATTATGTTTTATTTTTATTATTTCCCTTCTACGTGCCTTTACCGAAAGAACTAAGAAGTCTGAAAAATTTGTCATCTACCAAGGAAACTTATTTCGAACACCAAGCAGCGAGGCACTGCGATTAAATCGATTCGTGAGAGGACACGTAGATGGGTGAGATTATTGTCCGCCGCCGTTTGATTCGCGTCCCTTGGACAAATTGTCTCGAGGCGAAGCGAATAAATCCTGAATCTTGATAGGACTCGCTGTGTACCGGATTGAGTTGTCATCACGCCTTCATGCCGACGCTAAAGCACGGCTTAAACGTCCGCACGGGAATTGCGCAGGACAGAAAATGAATCTGAAATCCTCTCTCTCCCATATTAAGAATAAAAGAAACAGCAGCCCTCAAACCAACCCGCACCCTGAAGGGGGAGGCGAGTTTCTCCTTGGGCCGTGAGGGCAGCAGAAGAGAAGGAGGAACCCCCCACATTGGGCCGAGGTCTGCTCTGGGAGGGGGTTTTCGTGACGATTCAGGAACCTGAAACTCCCCTTGTATGCGGAGTAGTTTTCTCGAGGTGAGGGGGGGGGGTCCTCTGGCTTTCTCCCTCCCCCCCCCCTCCTGGAACACGGCTCGAGACTCGGTACAGACCTTCTTCTTGGTTCTTTCGGTAAAGTCACGTAGAAGGGAAATAATACAATAATAAAAATTTAACATAATAAAATACAATTCTCACGACGTTTCGGACACAACGCAAGCAGCCGTCCCTCAGGCGAAGAGCAGGTCTGTCGGAAAGACAGCGTCTGAATTAAACACCACCAGGCTTGGAACGAACAGCTTTAAATCGAAACTCGGTACAGACTTTTCTGGGTGGGCGAGTAAGTGAATGGCTGAAGCGCTGCCACCGTTCCCTTCATCGTTACCTCTGGCGCAGGTTCTGCATGCGCTGCAAGCGTCCGCGTTGTTGCTGGTGTCCGTGTACGTTCCGCCTTCGAAGCAGGAGAGACAAAAGCTCGACCCACCTTCAAGCTCGCAATCAAAGCCACGGAAATGTCCTGCGGGGTATAAAAAAGAAAAATGGAGGGGGGGGTTCAAAGGAAATGACGCGTGGCTCATAGTTGAATGCAAAACGCGCAATTGCCTCTTCATCTATAAATGGCGTCACGGGAAATTTTACGTGCGCTGCGCAAGAGGCACACGGTGCGGACTAGCGTGGACTTGAGCGGGTGCAGCGGTGGCTACGAGATGTTAACTACCTCGCCTGCTGTACAGGAGGTCGTGGGTTCGATCCCGGACTCTGTGAGATGTTAACTCCCTCGCCTGGTGTACAGGAGGTCGAGGGTTCGATCCCGGACCCTGCGAGATGTTAACTACCTCGCCTGGTATACAGGAGGTCGTGGGTTCCATCCTGTGCCCCTGTGAGATGTTAACTACCTCGCTTGGTATACAGGAGGTGGTGGGTTCCATCCTGTGCCCCTGTGAGATGTTAACTACCTCGCTTGGTCTACAGGAGGTCGTGGGTTCCATCCTGTGCCCCTGTGAGATGTTAACTACCTCGCCTGGTCTACAGGAGGTCGTGGGTTCGATCCCGGACCCTGCGAGATGTTAACTACCTCGCCTGGTGTACAGGAGGTCGTGGGTTCCATCCTGTGCCCCTGTGAGATGTTAACTACCTCGCTTGGTATACAGGAGGTCGTGGGTTCCATCCTGTGCCCCTGTGAGATGTTAACCACCTCGCCTGGTATACAGGAGGTCGTGGGTTCCATCCTGTGACCCTGTGAGATGTTAACTACCTCGCCTGGTATACAGGAGGTCGTGGGTTCGATCCCGGACCCTGCGAGATGTTAACTCCCACGCCTGCTATAAATGAGGTAATGGGTTTTAATCCTGACCCTGATGCCTGTTGTTAATATTGAGTCTGTGCGTGTTCTCTCTTATTCCCGTGGCTGCATGGATTTTTCTCGGCGTCCTCTGGTTTCCCCCCTCCACATTTAGAATTAACGCCACGCGTTTTAGGGTATTTGGCTGCTGATATGAATTTCCACGTGATGATATCAAGCAGCCACTTCGTTGGGCTTATCGTGTTTTGATGGCCAGAGAGATGGAGGAAGGGAGGAGGAGGGAGGGGGTGGGAAGGGGAGGGGAGGGAGGAGATGGAGGGGGTGGGAAGGGGAGGGAGGGGAGGGAGGGGAGGGAGACGGAAGGGGAGGGAGGGAAATCGTCTTGTTTACATTTAAAACATTTCGCCGAAACAACATTGTATCTCTCGTAACGTCTGGGGTGGCGGGCGGGTGGGCGGGCGGGCGGGCGGGGGTGTGTTGAAGACACTACAAAGTAATGGGGGGCACGTGTTTCATATTCGGGTGGGGAGTCCCCGACTTGCATGGCGGAGGTTGTGACGGGCGGGAGGGGGGAGTGTTAAGCCGTGAGGGGGGGATGGATGGATGGTTGGTTGCCCCCCCAACATCAAGACGACACAAGTGCGCCTGACGCTCCTCCTGTTGGGGCAGTGAGGGGTACGATGTCGTCCCCCTTCCAGCCCCAGCGGTCACTGTCCCTCCCCGGCCTTCTCTCCATCTGGTTCGCTCATTGCTGGGCACCGCACATCAAGGTTGGGGGTGGGGGGGGAGTTGGCCTCATGAGGCATCGAACTCTTCCATCTCCTTTTGTTTTGCGATCAGTGGAAACAAGAAGATGCTCGGTGTAGTCGGCACTTTGCTTCGTTCATCATTTCGTAATTTTTTTTAAATAACTTTGCTTTATGTAAACCCCCACCTCTCTCTCACTCTCTCACTCTCTCTCGCTCTCTCTCTCGCTCTCTCGCTCACTCTCTCTCTCACTCTCTCGCTCACTCTCTCCCTCTCTCGCTCACTCTCTCGCTCACTCTCTCGCTCACTCTCTCGCTCACTCTCTCACTCACTCTCTCGCTCGCTCTCTCGCTCGCTCGCTCTCTCGCTCGCTCTCTCGCCCACTCTCTCGCTCACTCTCTCACTCTCTCACTCTCTCTCGCTCTCTCTCTCGCTCTCTCGCTCACTCTCTCTCTCACTCTCTCGCTCACTCTCTCCCTCTCTCGCTCACTCTCTCGCTCACTCTCTCGCTCACTCTCTCGCTCACTCTCTCACTCACTCTCTCGCTCGCTCTCTCGCTCGCTCGCTCTCTCGCTCGCTCTCTCGCCCACTCTCTCGCTCACTCTCTCACTCTCTCACTCTCTCTCTCGCTCTCTCGCTCACTCTCTCACTCTCTCACTCTCTCTCTCGCTCTCTCGCTCACTCTCTCTCTCACTCTCTCACTCTCTCGCTCTCTCGCTCACTCTCTCGCTCACTCTCTCGCCCTCTCACTCTCTCGCTCACTCTCTCGTTCTGCACGCAGCCCTTCTCGCAGTCCGACGGCCTCCCCCGTTGAGCTTCGAGCCCAACTGGGGTCACTCCACGGCTCACAAAGCGCCAGGATCGTGGCGGGGTTGGGGTGGGGTGGGTTCATCGCATTTTCGCTTCTAAATCCACGCTGACCTTACCTGCCGGACACAGCTGGCAGCAAATGTTGCTCTTTGCCTTGTATTGTCCCTCGGGGCATTGCTTCTCTACAATGGGCGATGCTAGTGCCTGGACCTGCGAACACAAACACCACCACCACCGTCATCATCAATCATCGTCAATTGTTCAGCTCGTTCATTGAAGTAAAACTCGACTGACAAGACAAAGATCCCCCGTGTAGCCCGTAACAGACTGTAGGGGCAAGTGCTGTTAGCGAGTAGCAGCACCTATGAAGACTACCGGCTCTGTGGCACACGAGGGGGTGGGTGGCCAGCACCACGCCCGGCCGTCTTTGTCTCTCCCCCAGTGGCGATGTTTACTCCACACCGCACCAGGTAACCCATTTGAGGCTGAGTCGTATTGTTTAATATTTTTATTATTTTATTATTTCCCTTCTACGTGATGACTTTACCGAAAGAACCAAGAAGATGATTAAAATTCTAGATTTGAAGCTTTCGTGACTGCAAGGATTCATACTCTATCCTCAACATAATTACATTGAATCATATTATACTCTTAGGGTTTTCGGTAAAGTCACGTAGGTAAAAAATAATACGAATAAAATAATAAAAAATTAAAATAAATTGATTTATTAAAATAAAAATAATAATAAATGAAATAATTTGATTTATTGAAATAATAAAAGTAAAATAATAATAAATGAAAATAAATCGATTTAATTAAATAATACACCAAATAAATTGATTTATTTAAATAATAAAAATAAAATAATAAATAAATGGCTATAAATTGCTTTATTAAAATAATAAAAATAAAATAATAATATAATCTTCTTGGTTCTTTCGGTAAAGTCACGTAGAAGGGAAGTAATAAAATAAAAATAAAACACAAAAAAATAAAAATAAATCGATTTCTTCAAATAATAAAAATAAAATAATAACAAATGAAAACATATCGAGTTCTTAAAAAAGAAAAAAATGAAAATAAATCGATTTCTTAAAATAAAAAAATACTAAATGAAAATAAATTTATGTATTTTCATTTATTATTTTATTTCTATTATTTTTTACCTACGAAAACCCTAAGAGTATAATATGATTCAATGTAATTATGTTGAGGATAGTAAGAGTAGTAACTATTATTGTTGTTGTTGTTGATTTTGTAATTGTTGATTTCGCGCTAAGGAACAGGGCAGACAATGGCTGCTCCGGCTCCATGATGAGCGTCGATAGAAGCGCTCCTCTCATTGGTCATTGGCTGGCCAGCAACAGCCGCTGTGATTGGACCAGACGTTGGCCCTCGTAACTGGGTGCAACCATTCGCGATTTCGAAAACGGGGGGTGCAATTTAGGAATATTAATTTTCAAAATTTGGTGAAAAACACGAACAGCCAAGCTTGGCAGCGTATATTTAAGCTGCTGGGTTGGTGGTGTTTCATTCAGACGCTGTCTATCCGACAGACCTGTTCTTCACCTGAGGACGGCTGCTTGCGTTGTGGCCGAAACGTCGTGAGAATTGTATTTTATTATGTTTTATTTTTATTTTATTAAGTTTTGTTTTTATTATTTTGTTATGTTTTATTTCTATTATTTTATTAAGTTTTATTTTTATTATTTAATTAAGTGTTATTTTTATTATTTTATTAAGTTTTGGTTTTATTATTTTATTATATTTTATTTTTATTATTTTATTATTTCCCTTCTACGTGATGACTTTACCGAAAGAACCAAGAAGATGAATCCCTGCAGTCACGAAAGCTTTAAATCGAGTCCATCTATGTTCGGAAAAGAGGAGGAGTGGGGGTGAAGAAAATGGAATGCGGTCTGAAAGTCACCATAAGCGTGAACACAATCAATGAAGACCCGAAATGGTTGATCAGATCCTTCCAATGTTGTTGTATTTGTAACTTAACGCCGCTATGAAGCTCTTCTGTCACAAGCCACTCTGCCCATCGCGAAGAGTCGCAGCTCAACCACGTGGCTGATGACATCATCACCACGTGCACATTGAGAGCAGACCCACAGAGACCCACAGAGACAGACACACAGAGACACACAGAGACCCATAGAGACGCATAGAGACCCATAGAGACCCATACTAAAACTAAACCAGATAAACCCCCACTGAGCAATGCAGTTATTTCATCAAAGGCGACGCTATCAATCACACGTAATGGTATATAGCAGATGTCGATTTAAAGCTGTTCGTGACTGCAAGGATTCATATTCTTAGGTTTTTTCGGTAAAAAAAGCCTAAGAATAAGAACCAAGAAGATGATGTATAGTAGCTCAGCCAGTTAACGGATCTACATCATCATCATCATCACGTGGAGATGTCTAGCGGCAGCCAATGAACTCTGGACGCGTAGAGATCTCCATTCTCAACGTGGCGGAGAAAAGAAGCACAGAAGAATCTCTCACGGCGAGAGGGAAACACGCGAACTACAGAAATATACAGCAGCAGCAGCAGGCGTCAGGATCGGGATCGATGTCCACGACCTCCTGTAGACCAGGCGAGGTGGTCAACATCTCCTAGCCACAATGATGATGATGATGAGAGAGAGAGAGACACAAACTCCAAATATAATACTCTTAGTTCTGTCGGTAAAGTTACGTAGGTAAAAAATGAAATAATAAATAATAAAAAACAAAAACAATAAAATCACGATGTTTTGGAGGCAACACAAGCAGCAATCATCATCATCATCAGGTGTGAAATCCACAGCAAGAAATCTTTGAAAAAAGTGGTCGTTTCTTTCTTAACGTCAAGAAAAACACCGCCACTTTTTTCAAACATTTCACCGAGGGGTGACACGAAGACTCACCTGGGAGGATGACGAGGTCGACGAGAAGGTGGAGTAGGTGGAGATGATGAAGATGATGACGAGAACTTTGGCTGCGAGGATGGAGCAGAATCCCATTCCGGATTGCCGGACAACGTTGAAGAAAATTGATGATGATGATGATGATTTAAACAACAACTACAACAACGATTTCTTCAACTGTTGGAGTTCACCAACGTTCAACGCCTCGACAATAACAACGAAGCCACTTCCTTGTCAGCGAGGGAGTGAAATGCTATTCAGAAGCACGTTTTTCATCATTCCATAGCAACCGCACCCAGCCCATAGACACCCCACCCCACCCCCATCCAGACCTCACACGCAGTGTCCACACACCAGAGTCACTCTTCACGATTCACTGCTGGATGATGAGAGCCACCTCACGTAGGTTTGACCATACCCACTCACTCATCCACTCACTCACTCACTCACCCACCCACTCACTCACCCACTCACTCACTCACCCACTCATTCACCCACTCACTCACCCACTCACTCACTCACCCACCCACTCACCCACTCACCCACTCACTCACTCACCCACTCACTCACCCACCCACTCACTCACCCACTCACTCACTCACCACTCACTCACTCACCCACCCACTCATTCACTCACCCACCCACTCATTCACCCACTCACTCACCCACTCACTCACTCACCCACCCACTCATTCACCCACTCACCCACCCACCCACTCACTCACCCACCCACCCACTCACCCACCCACTCACTCACTCACTCACCCACCCACCCACTCACTCACCCACCCACTCACTCACTCACTCACCCACTCACTCACTCACTCACCCACCCACCCACTCATTCACCCACTCACTCACCCACCCACCACTCACCCACCCACTCACCCACCCACCCACTCACCCACTCACCCACTCACTCACTCACTCACCCACTCACTCACTCACTCACCCACCCACTCATTCACCCACTCACTCACCCACCCACTCACCCACCCACTCACCCACCCACTCACTCACTCACTCACCCACCCACTCATTCACCCACTCACCCACCCACCCACTCACCCACCCACTCACTCACTCACCCACCCACTCATTTACCCACTCACTCACCAACCCACTCACTCACCCACTCACCCACCCACTCACTCACCCACTCACTCACTCACCCACCCACTCACTCACCCACCCACTCACCCACCCACCCACTCACTCACCCACCCACTCACTCACCCACCCATTCACACACCCACCCACTCATTCACCCACCCACCCACTCACCCACTCACCCATTCACCCACCCACACACTCACCCACTCACCTACTCACTCACTCACCCACTCACTTACTCACCCACCCACTCACCCACCCACTCACCCACCCACTCACTCACTCACCCACCACCCACCCACCCACTCACTCACTCACCCACCCACTCACTCACTCACTCACCCACTCACTCACTCACTCACTCACTCACCCACCCACCCACTCATTCACCCACTCACTCACCCACCCACCCACTCACCCACCCACTCACCCACCCACCCACTCACCCACTCACCCACTCACTCACTCACCCACTCACTCACTCACCCACCCACTCATTCACCCACTCACTCACCCACCCACTCACCCACCCACTCACCCACCCACTCACTCACTCACCCACCCACTCATTCACCCACTCACCCACCCACCCACTCACCCACCCACTCACTCACTCACCCACCCACTCATTTACCCACTCACTCACCAACCCACTCACTCACCCACTCACCCACCCACTCACTCACCCACTCACTCACTCACCCACCCACTCACTCACCCACCCACTCACCCACCCACCCACTCACTCACTCACCCACCCACTCACTCACCCACCCATTCACACACCCACCCACTCATTCACCCACCCACCCACCCACTCACCCACTCACCCATTCACCCACCCACCCACTCACCCACTCACCTACTCACTCACTCACCCACTCAACCCACCCACTCACCCACCCACTCACCCACCCACCCACTCACTCACCCACCCACTCACTCACTCACCCACCCACTCACTGACTCACCCACTCACTCACCCACCCACTCACTCACCCACTCACCCACCCACCCACCCACTCACTCACTCACCCACCCACCCACCCACACACCCACTCACTCACCCACCCACTCACTCACCCACCCACCCACTCACTTACTCACCCACCCACTCACTCACCCACTGGTGGATGATGAGAGCCACCACACGTAGCGTTGACCATACTTCACCACGCTGGGCAATCAGTTGCAGCTTGAATGCATATTCTTAGGTTTTTTTCGGTAAAGTCACGTCGGTAAAAAATTAAAATTAATAAAAGTAAAATAAACTAAAAATAAAATAAAAATCACGACGTTTCGGAGGCAACACAAGCTTCCGTCTTCAGGTGAAGATGAATCATTGCAGTCACGAAAGCTTCAAATCTAGAATTAAAGCTTGAATGCAGAGAGAGAGAGAGAGAAATTGCCTAGACGTGGGGAGCATACATAGTACGGTACAACCTTCTTCACCTACCCTCTGCTGGCAAGCAACGTAGCCTCACAGCAGCCTATGACACCTGTTATGCATAGCGGTGGTCACCCATCCAATCACTAACGCAGTGCCTTGGTCTGTGTCCAATGCGCATAGACTAACATTGCCCCGAGAGCAGTGAGTGTACGTGTCCCTATGAATGCAGAAATTCTCTGGCACCGTACGTAGCCAGGCGTGCTAATCGCAGGTTGGGCAGGTCGGATAAAGAGACAAGAGACGAAACAATATTATTGGTTCTTTCGGTAAAGTCACGTTAGAAGGGGAAAATAAGTATAACCCGTAAAAACAAAGTTTTTCACTCTAAATCCTTTATATGCGTGGCGGCTAGAGGCCTCTCGTCCTCTGGCTTGAGATGGCTGCCACCTATGGGTCAGATGATTGTCTGCCAGTATTAAATAATTGGTAAATAAATATTTAATTTGTTTTCCCTAAACAGTGTAAAATTTTGGAAAAAACTTTTCACGAACATGAATTGTGTCGCACAACGAGTCTGTGTGCAAAATGTCAGCTCGATTGGATCACGGGAAGTGGGTTAAAAAACGACCGAAAGATTTGCACGGTCCTAAGCAAGCAAGCGAACTAAATATAAAGGATTTAAAAACAATTGAAACACAATTTAATACAAGTCTCACGACGTTTCGGCCACAACGCAAGCAGCCGTCCTCAGGTGAAGAAACACAGAGCTGTCGGAAAGACAGCGACCTCTGATGTTGTAGCAGGAGGCTGTCTTTCCGACAGCTCTGTATTTCTTCACCTGAGGACGGCTGCTTGCGTTGTGGCCGAAACGTCGTGAGAATTTTTTAAAATATGTATACATTTTTTCTTTTTTTTCTTCTTTTTTCTTCTATTTTTTTCCCTTCTACGTGATGACTTTACCGAAAGAATCAAGAATATGAATCCCTGCAGTCACGAAAGCTTTGAATCGAAACAGAAAAACATTATAAAGCTCGATTATGACGATTACGCGTAGATTCAAGGCCGTAATTATATTGCTATAAAAATAATAGAAATATCAATTTGCTAAACCTTGGCCACAATATCTGGACTTCATATACATCAATGCATTGATTTATTTTCATATAATTGTGGTTATGGTTGTACTTGATGAATCCCTAATCTCTGCCATGACATACAATGAAACAAGAAATTGTAAAAAAAAGTAAAAACAGAGA